GACAATGCAAAAATATATATATTTCTGATATATGTATTCTATTTAATATTTAAGAAATCATAATATAAATTGAAGTATACCTTGCTGATCAAAAATCCAATGATTATTTAACTTTCCTTCTAATATATATAACACTCTTTCTTGCATTGTAATTTAATCAAATGACTCATTTGTTATAAATATACATGTATAACGATTTATTGATAGATAAAACATAATAAAGGGGAGTAATCAAATGTTGAACGCGCATTTGATTGGTTAATCTGGATTTTGAATCTCGAATTTCGTATTTCGAACCTCGAATCTCGAATGAGCCTTTTGACTGGTTAATCTAGATCTTGAATCTCGAAACTCGAATTTCGAATCTCGAATTTTGAATCTCGTATTTCGAAACTTGAATCTCGAATGAGCCTTCTGGGCCTTCGTACATTACTGAGAATATGATTTCAGAAAAATATAACTTTTCTGTGAATTTTGAAAATTGAGAAACATTTTGTCTTAGAGCGGGGGATTGTCCACGCCTTATACGCCCTCTTTCTTTTATTTCCTCCCTAATGCAGTCTTGTAAGCCACCATGAGTTCTTTTGGAATTATTGTTTTGTTCTGTTGCAGTCATGTAAGCAATCGAATATCCTTTTTGGATTTTTTTGTTCCTGTTTCAGTCTTATAAGCTATCATGTACCCTTTAGGTATATTCGTTCCGTCCCCATTGCAGTCTTGTAAGCCATGATGTGTCCTTTTGAGATTTTTGGTTTTTCCTATTGCAGTATTGTGAACTATCACGTACCCTTTTGGGATTTTTGTTTTGTTCCATTACAGTCTTGAAAGTCATCATGTTTCCGTTTGGTACATGTATTTTTTTTTTGTTCCGTTGCAGTCTTGTAAGTCAGCATGTGTCCTTTGAAGATATTTGTTGTGTTCCTGTTGCAGTCTTGTAAGCTATCTTGTGTCCTTTACGGATTTTTTGTTTTGTTCCTGTTGCAGTCTTGTAAGCCACCATGAGCCCTTTTCGTTTCGTTACACTCTTGTAAGCATGCTGTTATGGGGGTTTTGTTTTGTTCCCGTTTCAGTCTTGTAAGCCAGCATGTGCTCTTTGGGAATTTTTGTTTCGTCTCCATTGCAGTCTTGTAAGCCATCGTGTGTTCTTTTGGAATTTTGTTTTGTTCCGTTGCTGTCTTGTAAACCATGAAGTGTCCTTTTTGCACATTTGTTTCCTCCTAATTGCAGTCTTGTAAGCCATTACGTGCCCTTGAAAGGTATTTGTTGTCCTTTGCTCTTGTAAACCATCATGTTTTTTATCTTAGGGTTACTTTTTCGTCCTCTTCCACTTCCCAATTGCAGTCTTTCAGCCATCACGTGCCTTTTATGGATGTTTAGTTTTGATTACTTTAAGGATATCTGCAGTCTTGTTAGCTATAAGATATTTGCATCACGTACCCTTTCAGGATATTTGCAGTTTTGCCAGCCTTTATTTGTCCTTTTGGTATATTTTCAGTCTTGTAAGTTATCAATGTTGGAATATTTGTTTCATCTTCATTGCTGTCTTGAATGCCTTCACATACTCTTTCGAGTCGTGTAAACCGTCTCATTCACTAAGCAGATATTCATTTGTTCGCTTTCAATTTTGCCCATTAAGGATAGGTCTATTTGTTTTCAAAGAATGGTTCACTTTTAATGTATTTTTCCATGATTGTAATAAAAAAAAACCTATCTAACGTCATGTATACATGTAACTGGTAGATACTTTAGACATGTGGCCAATAATATTGCCGAGGTCAGGGCTATAGTGCTAGTGTTTCCAAGCTGAAGATTTTCTGCGATTCAAATCTGATTAGGCTATGTTAGTCGATGGTTCTGACGAGAACTACAATGTTTAGTGGATTCTATCTGTGTAGTATATAGCGAATCTATACTAAGGGTATTTACTTATATGTTCAAGACTTCTGTATTTATTATGTTATGATGCTTTATTTTTTATTAGGAAGTTTATGACATGACATGTGATTTAACAACAATAAAGTTCGGGCTGATTTATTGACTTCTCTTAAAGAAATGATTTTTTTTAAAGCTGGTTATGTTTTGGATCAAATCTGATCGGTATCCTGTGCACATAATAAACAAGCTATTTAATCTCTAAGGAGAAGATTGTATCTTGAACAAACTAGATGTTTTGTAATGCTGTCTAGAAAAAAAAGATAAATAACAAATTCAATATTAAAATAGAGTGATAAATTTGACAAAATGAATGTTCATCCATAATATATTGCTCATCTAGTATGCAATAAATGAATTGACACACTAAATACTATCTATGTAGTCTGTCAACTCTTTGTTTATTGTATCCTTATTTATGAGTTTATTGGTTTAATTTTACAAAAGAGTCATATCTGGTAATTCTTGTAAACAAGCAACAGGACAAACGGTGCAAGATCGTGCAATGACTAGTTGCAAGGTCAAAGAGTAAATAGGCAGAATAAAATAAAGGGGGGGGGGGGACTCAACTGAGGTTCCTGGTTCATAAAATTTACACAAGCTCACATTTGATCTCAGTCTCACTTTTTCACTATCACTTTGCTAAAAAGTGAGACTGAGACCAAAAGTGAGCTATGTATACTTTTATGGCCCAGGGTCCAGAGCATTCAATTGAAAATATATTTAAGTCTCAGTTAAATAATTAAGTACACGTTCCAATAACTATAGAATATCACAGTGAATTTCTTTGCAGGATAGCCTGTCATGATGAGGGATGAAATATTCTGTAAGTCTGTTTTTATCCTATGTAGCCTTTGCAAGAATCAATATTTCGTTTGGACCATAAATATAATCTTTTTTGAACAACGAGTGTTCTATTATTTTTTAAGGTTAAACGAAACTCTAACAAAAGAAACTTGAGTTTTATTTCCTTACAAAGGAAACCCGAGTTTTGTGTCTTGTCATGTAGGACATGGGGTAAGATGGTTAAAGAGATTGCATGTAATATTGCAATGCACCATAGCTAATTAATATGCAAAAATAACACGGTCTAAATTTAAATAATGTATTTTGCCCAGCAAACGTCATATCTCAAAGGGGGGATGAAGTGCAACTTGGTGATTATTGTGCCGTAAAGCATGGGATCCCCATAGAGGAGCATTGCAAAAGCATTCTGTTTCGTCGACATCTGGGCAAAAACTTGGGGTGGGTTTATTTCATTGTTCACTTTTAGATTTTCATCAACGGAAACCTCCGTGGTAGATATTAGTATAATTATATTATGAATATATTGCAAATCATCGTTTAATATTTAATGAAAGAATTTAAATTTGGTGTTTTGGATTAAAAGATAAGGCGGGGAACGTGTCGAGCTATTCAACGCGTGCGCAAGATATAATTAAAGATAGAATTCAAGGCAAGTGACGAATCAAGATTTACCGCTTTATTAACTCTAAACATTAGAGCTGATCGTCACCGCGGGTGTTTGATGGTCCTTTTTTCGCTCCATGGTCAGGCGTGGTAGGAGAGGTTCCCCCAAGAGTTTCCTTGTTTCTTTTGTGTTATTTATCTGAAACAAGATCGTTTTGGTTAACTTCAACTCCTTAAATGTCTGTCAGTGGAAGGTTTTCAGCCATGACAAAGCCTTGTCATTGCATTAATCAGTTAAACACGTGGTGAAGGCTTCACGTTCCCAGATTCTAACGTGAAAAAAATGTAGCTCATGCAATAACCTAAAACAAAAAGAAATGAATGACCTTTTCAATTTTTTTTCCAGACTGGTAAATTACAGATTAGCAAACGCTAAAACAGTCTCAATGAAATTTTAATTGAGCTTGCATAAAAATATAATACATGGTTGTTGTATACGTGCCTATGACAATCGTGAAAATATTCCAATTTAGCTCAAAGAAAGTTTTTGAGGAATAGGTAGCTGGGTTCGCCTAATGCTTTTATGATTTTCAGAATATTCCTGAAGCAGGTTTGTTACATTAACATGGAATTGGTTTTAAAGTTTCCTCATTTGCTTGATATGGTAAAAGTCAATCATGAACTTGGCATCTTTTAGAAGTAGACACGTTACTGATCTTTATGCTTTTTATATGAATAACTGAAAAATAGAATTTCTTTTTCTGTTTCGTAAATTATAGATGAGTAAGCGTACATGTATAAGTCGTTTTCTGGACCTGGTAAGAACATTTTGCTGTTGGCTGAGGCCTATGGTAATAAGGCATAAAATTCGTCCCTGAGCAGATTTTGATCTTACACTACAGTTTGATCTGTATCAATCCCATGGGTTCTAATTTGTTTACATTACTTTTTGTTACATCTGAAGTTGTTTAGTTGACCCCTCTTTTCAGGTTATATAGAGAAATTTTAACTCTTGTCATGACGTCAAATCTCTTTTCAAGTATCTGTGCTGTATAACTTTCCTGTTTCTTGACTAAACTCTTGGTAAATATCTTAAAACATGTTAAATAGTTAAGTCTATATTTCACAGAGTGCAATCTTCTTATTTTCAGTAAGTATAAAGAAGTATGGTATCAAATTTGTTTTACACTTGGATATCTAATACATTTGCACCAGAACATATCTTGTTTTTATTACAATTGTTGACATTGACTTGTCTTTGAGTTTTGCAGTATCCCTACTAAACTTTTTAATAGTTGTTGCCAAAGAATATTACATATTTAGAAAAATTTGTATTTGATTTGGTAATCATCGTCTCAAGCCGAAAATTTTTGTGTCCGTTCTATTTTTACAAACCAAATTTGTGGACACATAGATATACGTACACTATATAAATTCCTGGTGAGCTTAACCCGTGGTCTGCGACAATGATGATTATTATCATCGTATTTATAGAGGACCGTGTTTGTCTGAAAGTACTTGTGTATCTTTTCTTTTTTTTTTTTGAATATATTTTCCAGCAAATCAAGTAAACACGCATTGCAATCATCCTTCTTTTCACCTTTTCTTGATTGCAACTGATCACAGTTGTGAACCTAATGGACAACCACAACAAGAAAATTAATTCCTCTTTTATTTTCAAATATTTTACAGATCCAAATGCAAAAAAATACATAATTAGATAGTTTTTATTTTCAAAGAACATAATTCCATGTCAAAAATTATACACAAGAGATTAGAAATATTGAAAGTCCCAACGGCTTCTTCCTTGAATTGCGAATACATATACAAAATGCAGCGAAAAGCACAAGGAAGATTTGTGGGTACATTTAACAACCCCGACTAAAAAGAAGAAAATGAAGCCAAAAATCTTTAAAGTTGCAAATCAACGTCAATTCTACGTCCCCCTTACATTTCGTCAATACAGTATCCCTCGAAACAGGCAGTGACTGGCGTCGTTAAATTGCTAAACTAATCTTGTTCTGCCATTCACGTCTTTTTGAAGGACACAATATCGAAGAAATGTGCATGTTGTTATTTTTTCGTCAAGCGCTCCCTTTTAAAAGCCATGGATTGAGCATTTCTTTTTCTAATATTTCAAATAGTAATCGTAAAATTTAAACTTTGTTAATACATTTCAATGATTTCATATAAAGAAGAGATGAAAAATGCAAAAAAGGTCTTTCATTTCAGATTTTCCTTTTTAAAAAAAAAAAAATCCAAATATATACATAGTTTAGAGCGATCCAAATACAATATATTTTCAGATACTTTGTAGGGAAACGCCGAACAAACATCATAGTCCCGTGTGTCTCTGAACCTTTAGCACCTTGTTTGTGTAAAGTGTCCATCCTTTCAGAAAAGAACAGGTACATGTGACGATTTTCAAGGTATCCCACATATGATGTGTTCGTCGATTAGTAAAATAACATCACATATACATGTTTTTCAACAACTGTATGTCCTGAGATCGTTAACTTCAGAAGGCGCGACAAAGTGTTTGTGTGATTGCAAAGTCTTGTTGATGAACACAACTTTGACGAACTTCATTATTGCAAATGATTGATTTAGTACTAAGTTCACGAACTTTCTGCTAAGAAAGCATCGCAGATGCCGGAATCACAAGAACTTTGATCCTCTTCGCTTGTTTGTTTGTAAATGGCATTTCCGATTTTGATTTTTGACATTTTCTCAGATGTGTGATTCATTTTCTTTGTTGAAGTTTGAATGTCTTGTGTTGTGCATTTGTGCTTCAATGTGTTTGACAGTGATGTCACTTCCGGAATTTCTGTTTCTTCAGATTGGCATTTCCCAGAGAGATCGCCGCAGGATTCAAACAAATCATTGTCCGACACTGACCAATCAGAAACATCGAGCTCGGCGGAACTGTCAGGCATCGAATCATAGCTGCATCTTCGTTTCCATTTTAGTTCTTCTATTGTCTCATTTAAGGTCAACAGTTGCTTCATCAAAGAAAGGTCTTGGTCCATCAAAGAATTCTAAAACACAAAAAAATGAAAAAAAAATACATAAACTGAATGAAATATCATGAATTACATCTAATATAAATTTTGCAAGACCTCCTGTAAAGCTAACTGTTTAATGTATATTATCGCTTGTAACGTTCTCTTTTTGTTTGAAATGTTTCTGTTTGGTTTTATTTAGAGAGTCGGATACACCTGTATGCTGTCTTTATAATTTGGTATTTCCTATTTTTATTCTCGGTCCCTTTTCGAGGCGTCTCGGCTTGGCTGGAACTTCAGCTTGTATTTACTCAGTACTAACCACACGCAGCGATTTTTTTGCTTTTTAAACATTTACACAAAAAACTTCTCTCTAGAGAGCCACCTATCAACCTTCCGTCTACTTGTCATGGGTGATAAGGAAAACAAAAAGCCCGCAAGAAAAGCCTTCGACGTCGGTTTGGAACAAAGTTCCGTGATACATATTGATTTTGTCAAAATCACCCTGTTCCCCTGTTAAATACTAATTTAATATCTTTTATCGTAAAAAGGTATCATTTCCCCCGTTGCTGGGTTCAGTGTAAAATTCCAGGCGTTGGGACTTCAGTTTGGATAATTTTGTCACGACGTGGGATTTGATGGGTAGAAATACGTTCCTTCCAAACAATGCAGTGAAGATAAGATTTGAAGAGAGGTTAATTCTTTATTGATCAATAAAAATCGTGACCATAGTTTGCAAAAGGAAATTCTATCGGGTTTAGATTCTTAAGTATTCTGCATCCATTTAAGAACTATATGCGGTATTAACCAACATTTGCCCCCCAAAATCAAACTTTGATGGAGTAATATTTAATTAAGTCCTTAAACAGGGGAGTATATGCTGACTTCAAAGCACTGAATAATTTCATAAGTAATGACGTCATATGTACGTATGACGTCACAAATATGACGTAAATTTCAGTTTTTTATGAATTTTGCAGAAAAATGTACATATTTCGTCGATATTTTGAATAAAAGTCACCGAGCGCATGTGTGTTCAGGATAAATATTTTGATATAATGTGTAGAATGATAATATCAATGAAATATGTTTGTTCAACACACATGCGCTCTATAAATTTTAAAGCTTAAATTGTTGAAATTTTGTCCATTTTGTCCTCTTTCTGAAAAAGGATATAAAATCGGACTAGTTTGTGACGTCATAAAAACAGAAATTGTGAATACACTGCTCTGGAACTATAATATTTTCTGTTAACTTATATTTCTCGTACAATTTATTGAATTCAGCACATTTCAGGAAGTTTTCAAAATTTGACTTTTGTGGGGGCAAACATATGCAATATACCGCATATAGTTCTTTCATAGATTTATATGACATGTCCATTTCGCTATTCACTCAAAAGTGACGAATCAAGGTTCAACGATTAAGAATATCTTTACAATTATTAATATGAGTAGCTGGTCCTCATATGTTCTTAAACTCTATTTAAGGATAAAAACCGCTGTATTTACCAACAAAGATAAACTTGCAATAAATTTGTTCCGGTAAATGTTCTAGTTCTACTTAAATAAAAAGGATATCAGTCATAAAGTCTTCATCCTGTTTATTTTTATATATATAGGAATATAATGTTACGTGTACCTTTAAAAAGCATAAAAGAATCAATTTTGATAGCAACTCAATCCGTCACTGTAAAAGAATGATCAAGCAAAAATTAAAAAGATCATCTGATAAAGAATATCCAAATTAAAATTATTATCGCGATAACACCGTTATAGTTCAGGAACGCGATGCTTTTCAATACCAAGGGTTCCTAGTGGGCGGTAATTACAAACAATTAAGTTTGTGCATTATTTATGACCCAATGTTAATTGCTGTTAATTGACAAGAGATCTCAAAAATAAGGCCGAGGATGCTCAAATATATTGTTTCATTGTTTTGCGATGACCATGCGATGCCATCGCTCTTCTGCCTCGCCCATATCTTATGGCGTCTAACTCTACTTGGCATGAAACCTAAAACGGTTATGTTTTTCTCCGACTTTGGTATTTATAGTTCAATTTAATCCTTTTCTAAAGAAGAAACAGGGATGCATTATATTGCAGGCGACAGCACTCTCTATTTACCATTTTAATCGCGCTTCTTTAAAAAAAAAAAAAAAACACATTGACAAATGCTGAGGAGTTGCATAGTCATGGTTCGATGTGTAATGTTTGCACATGTTGCTATTTTTTGAGCCGATTTAATTTCCATTATTGTTTTGACAACGTTTTACTCAACAACTGATTTTTAATATTTGTATTGATAATAACAAGAGTAGATAAACTTTGCCCTATATCAATACCTTTAAAAAATCAAATATTCAAACAGTGTATTAAAAAGATAAATATTGATCTTCAATATTTTCAATTGAGAGCTTTCAATTTCTTTTACAAATGTTGAATTTCTTTATTAGTTTATTTGACTTACTAAAAATACACCAAGTGCAGTGTTTAAAATTGGAACATGTGTACCTAACTAAAACGCAATTGTGTAGAAATAATCGACGTTTACTTATTTTGAATAAGGGGAGTTACTGTATGTAATTCAAAAACTCTTAAAAATACCGAGATTTGGGTCTTGTAAATTTTACCATAAATTTATATTCCAACATGTCAGTCATTGGTCAACATATGAAAATGATTGCATTTTGGACAGCGAAGGTTACATGTATGTATGAATGCTGTGCAGTTTCCATTGTAATGGTAAATCTATCGCTTTGGTTTCAATATTTTTATTATTACACAAAATATAATGTCATGACAACAACAAATCAGAACGACTATTTAAACTGCGCAATAGCGTATAAACTACATTTAAATTTAATTTACATCAAAGTAATAAAATTGAAAATTATTCTATCATTTTACGGTTCTTTATTTCACTTTTTATTTCTCACAGAATGTAAAAATTACTTCCTCCAGTTTTGATAATGAAACTGGCTACATTATCATTCCAAATAGCCTTTATTTTATAATTTTTAATTTCATACAGAGTTTTAGCACACTTTACTTGTAAGTTATCAGGGCCAATTCCATGCAATAGGTGCATGTCTTATTAATATTTTTTAGGCTTAAGAGGAAAGGGAAATGATTGCAGCTGTAGCAGAGAATTGTCACATACACAACAAACCGAGGAAGATGCTCTTTAACCAAGTTCCTGTGTTTTTCATTGATAGAAGTGTTTTACAGAAGTTGTATCAATAATGAAGAGTAGTTTAATACCATTTTCGTTTCATTTTTTTTTTTTTTTTTTTTTTTTTTTTTTTTTTTTTTTTTTGCTTCATACCACTCCTACTTCCCATTTCTTTAATTATACATGTATTATCATTTACAACATTTTTGAATATTTTTTTTTGCTTTGAAAATTTCAGACTCAACCATATTTTAACAGCTTTTCCACAATATTTTTCAAAATTCAATATGATATATTCTTTTTAATAGCATTAATTTAAGTTTTAAAAAGATTTTTACTGTAAATATTCTGCATTGATTTATTATTAACCACTTGCAACTTAATTCAATAATAATTTTAAGCCGTGGTTCTTTTAAGAAATACACCAATAAACTCAAGTGTTAAGCATCATTGCGGGTCTGTGATTTATTTTCATTCGCTCCTTGGAAATTTGGGTAGCTGGCACAGGAACTTTCCCAGAGTATTTGCATTATCTTTGGAAGCAAAGGAACAAACAGCTTGCTATTGCAAATACACGTTGTCGCTTCACAGTGCAAACACTATCTTATTTGTTCTATGTCAAAAGGACCCACCGAATAAATTTTGCTCTGGAGATAAGTTTAACCAAATATTGATCGATGGTTTATTAAAATTTATCCTGCTGCTATGTAATTATAGGTCAAAACCGGTCTGGAATGTGTGATTCCAGACTTTTTGCAATATCTGGGACAATGAATCTTTTTTGTTACTTTAAATATTATCAATATTGGGCGGTAGCGTTCTGTCGATGTCTGAAACTGAATTCAGACGGAAAATATTTTTGTAAAAGTTTTCTGCAATGGATTCACATTTAGAAAATAAAAATTTTGGGCGATGTTAAAGTTCCTCAAAAATGATATCAAAGAAAAAAGAAAATTATAAATGAAAAGTATTAATAATAAATACATACAGAAAAAAGAAAATCAAATCAGAAGATCTTGCAAAATTAAAACGAAAAAGTTATTAAACATTTACGTGTGCTAACAAAATCAACTCTTATGAGAAAATTAAGCATCCACTTAAATTGATAATAATAAAAATATCTAAAGTAAAAATAAAAAGCAAATGAATTTGAACCAAAAACAAGATTGATAAATTTTCAAAAATGTTGTTACTGAAAAAGTGTTTTCAATCATGATAATGCACTTGAAAGAAGACTCACCATTTCTTCTCTGAGTTTGCCCATGGCTATATCTATGGATGTGATCCTCCCTCCCCGGGGGGTGGGATTCGTCTTGGTGGTTTGTTTTCTGGTCTCAGAGGCCTCCATTCTCTTCAGGTAAAACTCTCGGCATTTGTTGGATAACTCGATAGATTCAGTGTATCTATCCGTCGTCAGCTCTTGTCCGTAATTGTTTTGTTCCATTGTAATTAATTTGTTTTTGTTAATTAAGAGTTCGTTCTGGAACTCGCGTCTTTGAATTCTAGTCTATGACTGAAGCACTCTTAGGTTAACAATAATGTAAATATACTCCTTTTCACTCGAGGTTTGATTGACAGTTCGGTAAAAATCTCCGCCTCCAATCGATTTAAAAAATTAAACACAGGTGACTCACACTGTTTCATGTTTGTAGGTATATACCTTTACGGAAGTGTTTAACTCAAAAAGACCAACAGGAAAAGAATTTACCTGTCCTTCTTTATATAGGTTCCCACACTAATTAATTTTAATTTTCTATAATGCCATTACCATTGAACTGACGTGTGGGTAGGATAATCCGGTAATACTACCGAATAATCTTTGAAGAAGTGATGACACTAGAATGTTGTGTTTTTTGTGGATTAAATATTTTTTTTAAATGAAAGGATCAACGAGCTGTTAAAACGTATTTAGTTCAATTATAATGTAATTAATCAAAATATCACGTTTATTTAGTTCCTGGTTTTCATGGAAACCATACGAATTAAATTAAACAAGACAAGCGACCATAATTAAAAGAGGATTTAAAGACCGAAGTTAATGAAGAAAATGACAAAATATCAAATGGAGTCCATTAACATGAGACACGCTGTCTTGTTTTACAATAGGCGAGGAAAACTAGAGGCTTTGGATGGAGATGACACAGGGAAATTTGAATTAAAATGTGTCATCTTGAAAGGATCAATAAGAATCCAAACTTTGTATGGTGGAGTGGGAGGGGACCAAAATATTACTCATATTCCATATTGTTATGCCTTAACATCTACCTTACTTTCTAAATTAAGCTAATATATACCGATGCAAACTTGTTTTTAGATTTTTTCGCCCCTTTTGGTAATAAAACGTGTAGATTTGTATTGATACGATCATTCATTATCATAATTCGCTTTGCTCATATTGACAAAAATGTTGAGGGGGAGGCATAAATAAATTCCCGCATAACTATTTTTTCCCATGTTGGGCGAACAGTGTAACTTAAAGTATCCAGCAAGGTTTTATTTCATTACGAGTAAATTGGGAAAAAAATGATTAATTTTAAATTAAGACTTGATTTTGATGGATTATGATAGAATATGAATGCAAGGACTTTTTTTTCAAATTATAAATATTTTTGTTACATACGTGACTAAAGGTAGTAAAATGAAATTTGGAACTTTATGTTTGCTAAAATCTCTCAAAAGAATGATACAAAGCTTCAATAAAAAGCAACGTTTGAATATTCTGCATTTATTTACAAAGGGCATAGAACAATTTTTTTTACCATGGAACTAAATAATTTGCACGGGAAAACTTGCAGAGTTATTCAATGTGACTTGTAAGTACTAAAACCTCTAAAAATGCGCGCTTGCACGCGGACCCTTGTAAATTTGGTATGAATTTCTGGGTTGGTTTTTCTTTTTACTTGGTGGACCACCCTGGAAAAAAATCATTGATTAGTGCCTGTAACTTATCAATATAACGAAGTTTAAACCAAAAATTATCATTATGTACTAACAATTCAAAGGTTATGGTCAAGATTAGAGTTTTGTAAAAGTGGGTAAAACTCAAAGGTCAAGGTCAAATATTTTAAAACTCAAATGAAGTCGCAAGAAATACATCTGTGAAATCTAAAAGTCCTAGCACTAACGGTTCAAAAGTTATAGTCAAGGTTTAAGTTTTTTAATAGTGAGTCAAACTCTAAGTTCAAGGTCAGCAGGTCAAATATTTTATACCCATTGAAAGGTCTTTTCACAGTGATCACACTACTAACTATTCAAAAATTATGGCCAAGGTTAAAATTCGGAAATTTTTGGCCAAGGTGGGCCAAATTCCATGGCCAAGCTTAAGGTCACGAGGTCAAATTTGGTGGTACCAGATGAAAGGTCTTGTCACAAGGAATACCACTATGAAATATTAAGTCACAGTCCCACTTGTTCAAAGAACTATATGCGGTATATTGCATATGTTTGCCCCCACAAAAGTCAAATTTTGAAAACTTCCTGAAATGTGCTGAATTCAATAAATTGTACGAGAAATATAAGTTAACAGAAAATATTATAGTTCCAGAGCAGTGTATTCACAATTTCTGTTTTTATGACGTCACAAACTAGTCCGATTTTATATCCTTTTTCAGAAAGAGGACAAAATGGACAAAATTTCAACAATTTAAGCTTTAGAATTTATAGAGCGCATGTGTGTTCAGGAACAATATTGACATATTTCATTGATATTATCATTCTACACATTATATCAAAATATTAATCCTGAACACACATGCGCTCGGTGACTTTTATTTAAAATATCGACGAAATATGTACATTTTTTCTGCAAAATTCATAAAAAAACTGAAATTTACGTCATATTTGAGACGTCATTACGTACATATGACGTCATTACTTATGAAATTATTCAGTGCTTTGAAGTCAGCATATACTCCCCTGTTTAAGGACTTAATTAAATATTACTCCATCAAAGTTTGATTTTGGGGGGCAAATGTTGGTTAATACCGCATATAGTTCTTTAAAGTTATGACCAAGGTTAAAGATGTGGACAAAGAGAAAAACTGATAGCTATAGACAGACAGGACAAAACTATATACCCCCGAATCTTTGATTACAGGAGCATAATATACTAAAAGGAATATATTCTAATAATAGCAGCAAAAATGTTTTCACGGAATTAATGACGCTCCATCTAATCGTATATTATTGACAGAATTATATTGGGAATTCCTCGTGATTTACATTTTTAAAAATCCTTTTTTTTAATAGCACTGTCTCGCAAAGTGGTCCAGATCTCTATATATAGATCTTAACTTAAAAAAAAAACAAGACTGAGTGTTTGATAAAACTTTGGTCGATATAACTCATTTGAATCTCTGTGGAGAATTCACGTACCTCGAAGGAAAAACCAGGAAATTGCTTCCACCAAACAAGTAGAGTACATTCCAAGTTAATAATGGCTTTTGTCGAAATACATTTATATAACATATTCAAGCACACGGGTACTTGTGGACAGGACCCCCCCCCCTCTTCTTCATATTCAACCCCGGTGCTAGTTGGAATTTTTTTCACAAATTATATTTATTACACAGTTATCCATCATGTGTACAATAGGAAAAAATCATCAAATCCCAAAAATAATTGCTCCGTAAAAAATACCCCACTATACATTCTCTCTTATTTAGTGGGGTATTTTTTTGTGGAGCGATTATTTTGGGGTTTGACGATTTTTTTCCCTATGGTACACATGATGAATAAGTGTAATAAAAATATTTGTGAAAAAATGCCCCAGGGCTGAAGGGGGGGGGGGGGGGGGAGGGCTGTGCATAAACCTTATATATCTAGGGTTGAATATAGGGGGGGTGGGGCTGTGCATAATCCTTATATATCTATACAATTTTTTTTTATTACTGTATAGAACATTACTGCGAATGATAATGCGACTTAACATATTTAGTTTACTTCAAAAAATATTTACGATTTTTGAAAATATCTAGCATACTGCATATGTTATCTGTCCTTTGCTATGTGCATACACTTTGTTCATAAATGTATATTGCATAAAACCCACCACAGCAGAAGTATTTGTATTTAAGATTAACGCAGTTTTATCCCTTGATAATTTCTTTCATACATCAAACAGTAGAACTCTATTTTATGGAATTTGAAATTAAGCATTATTCGATGTTTTATTAAAATTATTAAAAATAATCAATGCTTACATTAAATAAAAACACTCGAAAAATAAATTTACTATTTTCGCGAAAATTTCATTTAAAAAACTTCAATCTTGTCCATAACTTTTGAGTGTGAGGGGCTATGGCTTTCATATTTCACAGGTGTATTCCTTGTGACAAGAACTTCCTTTGGGTGACACCAAATTTGACCTCGTGACCTTTGAGTTTGACCTACTTTTAACAAAATATTCTGAACTTAAACCATAGTCATTATTTCTAATTTAGTTAGTGCTAGGGCTATCATACTTCACATGTGTATTCACTGTGACTAGCCTGGTTCTCGAGGCCTTCCGATCATGCATTGTGACAAGACCTTTCATGGGGTATAAAAATATTTGACATTTACTTTTTTTTGTGACTTTGGGCCACTTTTAAAAAAACTTTAACCTTGACCGTAACTTTAAACCGTCAGAATTAGGGCTTTCATTTTTCAAATTTGTAATCCTTCTGACAAGACAGTTTCTTGGATTCCAACAATTTGAAACTTTTGTCATTCACCTTAGAGTTTGACCCACTTAAAAAAACTTTAACCTTGACAATATAACTTTTGAATCGTTAGTACAATGGCTTTCATATATCACAGGTGTATTCCTTGTGAGAGGGCTATGAGGCGCCGTTTTGGTATTTACTGCCAAAAAGTGATATCACCTATTCAAATAAGTGATATCACCTATTTGATTTTAATAGGTGATATCACTAATTCGAATAGGTGATATCACCTATTGCATTCGATTAGGTGATATCACTTATTCGAATAACTGATATCACTTATTCGAATAAGTGATATCACTTATGTAAATTTAATAGGTGACATCACCTATTCGAATAGGTGATTTCACCATATCATTTTGAACAGATGATGTCACTTATTCCAATTATTTATGAAATAACAACGGTTCCCAAGACTATATATAGGTCCCTAAATCTTATTTACTTTCACTTTCGTTTTATAACTCATAATTCTAGGAGACAATGGTTTACAGTTTTGCATTTAATTTTAAGCAACTCCAATAGAAATTGTAGTTTGTTTTGCTCACAAATTAATCTATTTCACTTATCTATCATGTATACTATAAGAAAAATCGTGAAAACGCATGAAAACTGGGTAGTCCGAATTTTCTTGGTTCTAGTGGTAATCTATATATAATAGGGAGCATTCATTATTTATTGTTGTACGAAAATCAAAAAGGTGACATTACCTATTCGAATTGGTGAAAGGTTGATATCATTCATTCGAATAGGTGATATCACCTATTCAGCAGGAATAGTTGATATCACCTATACGAATAGGTGATATCACCTTTTCATTTCAAATAGGTGATATCACCAAATCGAATAGGTGATACCACCGAATAAGTGATATCACCTATTCAATTTGGTGATATCACCTACTGGAAATGAATAGGTGATATTACCAATTCGAATAGGTAATACATGCATTACCTATTCGAATAAGTCACTTCACCTATTAAAATCATTCTTTGCCAGTAAATACCAAAACGGTACCTCGCCATAAGCTGCCATATTAGGGCATCGATGTTTCACAAACACATCTTGTTTCTACTATAAAACCTTTACAGCCCCTGCCTCAGAGACCATAAAGTTTACAATTTTTGAGGAAGCACCCTTGTTTTTAAGCATTCACTCACGGATGTTTGTCAGCTTAATATACATAGGTGGAGAAGGTTTTAAAGAATGATTTTAAAGATACATTGCCATGTAAATAAAAGTGAAAAAATTGAGCTAAGTAAATTGTATACATGTAGTTGTATTAAACAAATTGCACATTTTGAAGCTTTAATAGATATACATAAATGTCTTTGCAACACTCTCTGTTAATTCAAAAAAGCACATTTTGACAGTTGTCTTGATAACTTTTGAGCATTAGTCAAGTTTCCATCCACTAAAGGTTGAGCGACTCCATATAGCACTGCTTTCTACACTACCAATAAGCTGGCCTTCAGGATGTGTCCGTATGAACACGACGTCTCCTTGGTCGGCTCTAATGACAGTAACGCCCGTTGTGGACCTGCCGTGGTCTGCTCCCTGTGCATTGCAATGGTTGGCGTCTATCACCTCGTCGTTGAGGACAGCTTGGAAATTAAGGTAAGCACCGGTGCTGCAGAAGATTGTGTAAGTAAACGCATATGTCCCCTGCTGTGAAACGGAGTAAATACCAGAGTACTTGTTGTAATGATTTCCATTGTCAGTCTGGGCAACATTAAATATTAATGTGTGGCTATTACTCGGGCCTTTTTCAGTGGCATTCATGTAGGCAAAAAAGGCTGGATTGGCAGCACCTGAAAAATAAGACGATTGTATGAACCTTATATCTCTAGAACTGTAAGAGGTAAACACTTGGTACCGACCTAGTTATCCTTGAACGTGACATTTGAATTTAATTTTGAAAAAGTTGACAGTGCCGATATACAACTTCTTTTTTAAGTTCCCCTCTGCCTGGACTATTTCCCTCGGCTGCGCGTCAGGAAATAGTTCTGGCCTTGGGAAACTGGAATCTTGCTAACTCCCTCAATGATATACTTTGTACGAAAGCCTATTAGGATCAATCTAGAGAGAAAAAAAATTAAAAGGCGTTATAACGCCTTTCGAAAAGGCGTTATTACGCCTTTCCATTCCAAAAGGCATTATTACGCCTTTTTAAAAGGCGTTATAACGCCTTTCTAAAAGGCGTTATTACGCCTTTTCATTCCAAAAGGCGTTATTACGCCTTTCCAAAAGGCGTTATTATGCCTTTTTAAAAGGTGTTATTACGCCTTTCTAAAAAGGCTTTATTACGCCTTTTTAAAAGGCGTTATTACGCCTTTCCAAAAGGCGTTATTACGTCTTTTATTTTCAATATATGACTAAACATATTTAGCCCAAGCGAGTGGTGGTGGTGGTGGGGGTGGGGGGTTGCAGAAATCTTACCTTTGGGACATGAATTTTACAATTTGTCTTTTTATTTGATATAGGACTAATTTCTCAAAAAATAATTTAAACAGACAGCAAATAGTCTGCCTGCTTTTTTCCAAGAAGAGAGAAAAATATCTTCAAATGACATGAATTTTAATACATGGCAAGCAAAGCTCCAAGATACATTTGCCTACTAGTATATCGTATCTTCACAAGTAGAGTGTTGCCTTCTCTTAATACGAATGCAAACAGTTGTCAGTGAGATGTGCAGGAATATAGAGAATTGCTTAAATAAAGATTGTTTTAATTAAATCTTTCATATATTTATTAACATAAAAACAACGCCTTTCCATTTTCCTTTTCAAGTAGGCCAGTAGTACGAGTGCAAATGGGGTAACCCCCCCCCCCTCCACACATACACACTTTTTTGGGGGAAAAGTCTTGCTACAGTTTAAATATTATAATTAACTTTTGGTTGCTTGGTTCCTGATCATTTTGTTGTAGTGTGTAAAACTGTAGCAAATTATTGCATTTAAAACAAAGTTTTACCGAGAAGTCACCCAGGAGTTTGGGGGTGGTGGTGGTTGGGGGGGGGGGGGCTTTAGAAGCACAGGGCTGTTAGATGCAAAATAATAGTTAATAAAAAGCGTAATATCCCTTTTGGAAAGGCATAATAACGCCTTTTAGAATGGCGTTAAAATGCTTTTTGGAAAGGCATAATAACGCCTTTTAGAAAGGCGTTATAACACCTTTTAAAAAGGTGTAATAACGCCTTTTGGAAAGGCGTAATAATGCCTTTTTGAATGGAAAGGCGTAATAACACCTTTTGGAAAGGCATAATAACGCCTTTTAGAAAGGCGTAATAACGCCTTTTGGAAAGGCGTAATAACGACTTTTTAAAAGGCGTTATTACGCCTTTTTAAGCCTTTTGAAAAGGCGTTATAATGCCTTTTTGAATGGAAAGGCGTAATAACGCCTTTTTTCGCGTTATTACGCCTTTTCAAAAGGCGTTATAACGCCTTTTAAAAAAATTTTTCTCTTTAGAGTGATCCTAATAGGCTTTCGTAACTTTGTATAATAATAACTGTATAATAACAAATACCGTAAGAGCAGAATTTTTAGCGAGGATTTAATTTTGGCATTATTAGCGAGAGTGTTAAGAACGCTAAAATTGAATATCACTAAAAATTAATTGCGCTTTATTTGTAATAGCTTCTTAAGTGAACATTTTAAAATCTCTAAAATTACTCCTCGCTAGTAATAAAATACCACTTTTTAAGGACAAATCGCTAAAATTCCCATTTAAACGGTAAGTCATTTGTTATAACAAATTAATAAAAGAGATACTGCTGCAGCCCTAATACGCATCCGTACATATCACTTTAACCCAAACAATGTCTTTACCTGAATTTCTTTTTTGAGGAATACTGGTTCCTAAAGCAACATCTGCGATTCTCGTACGCTTGGCCTCAGGCGCATTGTAAGACGGGCGGGTTTGTTTTTCCGCATTCACTGGGATTCTTGAATCTGTGAAAGACGAATCATTCAATAGAGATGGAACAATTCCACCCGTGATTTGACTTACAAACTGCTTAAATATAAATCCTTAGTTTGCAATTATCCTCGAAAGAGGATCAAAACTAGCACTGCTTTTCACGGCACTCTTGACATTTACGTGTTTGCATATGAAGAGAAACACATTAACTAGTCGGAAAATAGCTCTTCAGAGCTCATGTTTTTGGTTGATTTACCCGACTTTAAATGAATATTATCTTTTATCATAATTTTGTGAATTTCGTTTTTTCACTTATTCATTTTTTTTGTAATAATTCTCATGGGAATGACTGCCTTCATCAGCAATGAACTATTCTGAGAAACAATCAAGAATCAAATTTATACGTTTTTACATACTTTGTTCTTTTTTCCTCCCATCGCTGATCTGAAATTCCATAAAACGGATCCTTTTTTCTTGTCTTTCCACTTTTTCTTCAAGGGCATGTATGTGTTTCTTTAGATTTTCATGATTTTTCTCCTCGATGAGAAATCTGATTGCTTCTTCTTGATTCTTTTGATTTTCTTGCAGTTTTAAAATCATGGATTTCAGAATCTGAATTTCGTCTAAATTCGAACACTGGCCATTGATAAACAACGACACAAATATAGTTAGAAAAACAAATAAAAACATCTTCTTGAAGACACGTGTTCAACCGGTATTTTCTTGGACACTTCTTGATAAGAAATACATATTCGTTTAGTAGAAATTATCTTAGAGGTTAAAATCAAGACTGTACAATACCAAAGAAGATAAATATGTTACTAGTCCAAAATACGTTTTCCAGAGTATTTTCTCAAGATTTCGAAACTGTAGTATATTTCGGACTAAAATGTAACTAAACCGTTGCATACATGTATAGCTCTTATCAAGATTTTTTTTTATATATATAAAGTCTTCCACCTCAGAAAACACTACACAAATAAATCACACAATAATCAGGTTTTAACATGCACACAATGTATGAAAATTTTTTTTACAAGATCGTTGTATACAATTGCTGCCACTTTCTCCCTTTGCCATCATTCCCACAAAGCTGCCGCTATTAATTGTCTTGCACTACTCCTTTTTAGGAAACGACTGGAAAGTGAATTTCACTCTTTAATTAATCCAAGGCTCACAGATTCGATCCTGAGCCAAGTCATACACTTTTTCTTTTCCAGTTACAAGATCAAATAAACTATTCAACATAAAAGCTATCTAAAATTGTCAATGATAATTTCCAGTTGGACGTTGAAGATCTTGATATAATCCTTAGAGGTGTGCCATTTGGGCCGCCATAGTTCTCTCAATGCACCTGAGCAACTTCTTATCTGTGGAAACTTCCCAATTAATTTATTGTTGTTTTAGAAAATGTTTATCAAAGCTTACGACTAAATTAGTGCCAGAGACTTGTTTACCCAAATGATAATAGATACATAAGTTCTTTATAAATGAGAAAGGCCATGGACAGATAAGTTGATTACACAAGAATATCAACAATCACATTAAAAGTCATGTTGCAATTTTTATCATTGATATGATGCTACTGTGACAAACTTTCGCACAAATTGATAGATAATAATTTTCTCATTGAATTATTCTATAATTTTTGCGGTTTTCCTACCAGTGTTTACGCCTTCTTCACGGCACTTGCTCCCAGCTGTTTTCAGAGATTATTGTTGACCCTGCTCATCATTTAAATTGTTTTAAATGGTCTTTCTAAAGAATGGTCACTGTTCATTATCTTTGCTCAGAGTAAAAATTTTATAAATGGTAAGATTTATACTACATGTGGTTACATCCATTTTAGTGCAAAGTAATAGTGTTGAACCAGTTCTTTACACTTGTACAAAATTAAATTCTAAATATGACCCAAACTGCAAATATACCTATTATATATTTCCATCACAAATAACAATCTAGATTAGCTTTAGATTTGGCAGTGCTTTATTGAACACATACAGGTAAATATGGAAGACATGATATGGTGGTACATGACCAGTGTTATCCCTGGTCATCGTTAGCAGGTGCAGGGAACAGTAAACGTTTCAGATTCCTTCGTCTGACTCGAATCCCACAGCTAGGACAGGTTTTATCCAGATCCTATAGTAAATTAAAAGAAAATATTAACATTTCCAATGTCTTTGCCCGAGATAAAATTACAAATAGTTTATGTACTTTATTTCTCCATCAATGTACTGGTTCATCAATAAGTGCGGTTAAAAAAAATCAAGTGCAGGGCGGGACAAGTAGCTAGACAGAAGCAGGGCTTGGAGCATGTGGATTAGCGGAATCTAGAGCATGTAAATATAAGGAATTACTGTCTTATTTTTCGATTTCATGACGATGATCAATCGATTGGCTTGCGTGATAATTTTATGCATAAACGCCTTTGGCGTTTATGCAAATTATCACGCATGCCAATCGATTGATCACATCACGAGATCGAAAAATAAGACAGTTTTTCCTTAAATACATTTTTATTATCAATTACAGGTACCTGTACATATGCAACATTTTGAAGGTATACAATACACCTTGACAAATGATTTATAAAAATATTTATCTTTGATAATGTATGGGTGCATGTATTCTGTATGATTATAGAAAACCTAGGTAGAAATGATGTTTCTAAATTGATTGTAAATCACTTACATTAAAGACTTCTTTCCAACATTTAAAGCAGCAGACGTGATCACAGGTCGATTGGAATGGAACTTTTGCTTCACTCTGACATTTACAACACACATACCCTACAAAACAAAGAGGATATTACTACAGGTTTATCTATTTCGTGTATGGTGACTTATTTTGTGTCCTCTAATTCACTGATTTAGTCATGAACCAATCATCATTTTTTGTAAAAGAATTAAGTTATGTACAATACTTTTTTTTTTCAATTTTTTAAAATCAATTTGAAAATACTACAAGTAAAGTTCAACTTGCATATTTTAACTCTATAAAGTTTGCCCTCCCCCTCCCCCAAAAAAATTTCATGACTTTTCAGAAATCAATTCCGGCAAAAAATGTCTACAAATAAATGGACATGGTGACTCCAATATACCAATATACCCCCAAACTTCATTAGCAAAGGGTACAAAACTTATTCATTCAATGGACAAAGATACCTGTAGATACATAGAAATCTAACCTGACTTATCCTGAGAAGGACTCCGTATATCTAGTGGTCCAGCCACATTCTTGAGTCGCTCACTTATATTTCCTCCTGAACTTTGTTCACAGTTCCGTAACTCCTGACTGTCCTCAGAGTTCACTGACTGTGCCCCATCACCACTCACTTTGTTAAATTTCAGGGAGGACAGATCCCCCGACATAAACTTCTTACTAGAAGTGTCCGACTGTTGCACGTTAGATAGTGTCTTGGGCTGCAGAACCGATCCTGAACATTCTGTTCTCTGTTTCTTTTCTGGTTGTTCTAAAATAAAAGCATTTTATCATTAAAGAACAAACACTGTCAGTTCATATTAGACATTAATAGTACTCTACGGATGATTTCAAGTCAACTAAACAATAAAATGAATAATATTATCTTTATACAAGAAAAGAAGTTAAACCTCTGCTATTTCTATATAATTGTACCTATATTTAATTGATGATACCATATAAGCAAAATTTTTAGTGAGGATTTCATTTTGGCATTTTTAGCGAGAGTGCCAAGATTGCTAAAATTGAATATTGCTAAAAATTAATTGCACTTTATCTCTCATAGCTTCTTTAGTGAGCTTTTAAAAATTGCTAAAATTACATGTAGCTAAAAATAAAATACCAATTTTTAAGGACAAATCGCTAAATTTGTGTCTCGCTAAAATTTCCACTTATCCTGTATTAAGAACTACCGGTACCTGATACATTGGGGGTCTCTGACTGAGCCCGTTTCTTGGGAACGGAATCTTCTGGTTTATACCCACACCCCTCTCCTGTCAGTTCCATACACAGCGAATCAAATTCCTTCTTATCCTTGTGTCTCACAAATCGATAAAACTCTGTAAATATACCAATTATGTTTTTATTGCAGTCCAGTAATTGTTACTGGGTTTTGGACTACACATGACAGCATTCACTAATTAACAGTTTAATGATATATGTATTAGTACAACTCTCTGAAAATATTGTATTTTTGCATTAGGTCAGAGGCCTGAAGAAACAGATGATTATCCATTCCAAGACTTACTTCTGAAGAGATGGTAGTGTTTTGGGTCCTCTGTGAACAGTCCTGCCATTACCCCCACTGCCTGGGACAGCTCTCCTGTTTTCTTGTACATACCTAGTGCTTTGGAGAACGCCATATAGGATTCCTTACTCAGACAACACTTCACCTGTAAAGAAACATAAACTTTTAAATACAGTGTAACCTAGTAATAAGATGTTAGCTCCAGTACCATAACTTTCAAATCTATATGATGAAAAACCCTTGCATGCATGGGAGACTAGAATTTTAATATTTACCACTTGTGATAGAAAAATTTCAATATATCTACATATATATAAAATAGTTTTTGCAGAAGTAATGACATTCTTATAGTAAGAACACATATTTCAAATTTCATTTGTAGAATATTTTATCACAGTTACCAAACAGCAGAAGTAGATATACAGCTGTATGTCAACCTGTGGCATTTTTTTTTCGGGAAAGGTGTGGGGGGGGGGGGAGGTTGGGTGGTAAAAATTTGCTTTTCACATGTTAGGCCATAATAAAATATTCCTAGATTCTCATCCCCGCCCGCCCCGATTTTAAACCCCCGCCTCAATTTTTTAAATTTTTGTTTTTCTTCGTCTTAATTCTGATCGGGATCGGTATTCATCTACCATTCTACTTTCGTTTTAAATCCCGCGAAAGTCGACATGATTTTGACAGCTGAAAAGATGGTAATTGCTGTAATACATGCGTATATATTTTAAACAAGGGTCATTGGTTGAAAAAGATTGGTGATGATGTGAAGTAAGAGATAATTGAACCTTTACTACGACTTTTATTCGGGTATTGTAGATAAAATTACACCGATTGACCAGGTTAATAAAAAAATCTGCAAAATTGAAAAAATAAAAAATATAAAATAAAAGCCGCCCGCCTCGATTTTAAAAAAAATTTGGATGAGAATCTAGCAATTTATTTATTATGGCCTTTTATAAAGACTGAACATCTAATACAAAATTGAAATGATAAATGTATGAGGAAAATATTAATTTAGCACCACTTTTCATTTTAATTCAACTTTTCTTTCCCACTCCACATTTCTCACCTCTGTGATGTAACTCTCTGCTGACTGTAGATGAGAATTTGTCACTGCAGGATTAGCCTCTATAACTGACCCTGACTGACGCTTTGTATGAGAACTCTCCGATTCTGAATCTCTTTTCTGAAAAAGAAAAGTTAAACTGAATTTTAAATACACATGCTGCAGTGTTTATAAGACTTCATGATCATTATCAATTTATACAGAGTATAAGACAATGACTTGTTATCAATAAATTTTCAACATCTCCCAATTTTTCATAATAATAATACCCTGAAGTTGGCCTGAACATATTGCTCTGTGATGCTTGCTGGTAACGAAGACCAAAAACTACCTACCTTAATAATGATCTTCTTTTTGCTGGGAAGTTTCTTCATCAGAGGCTTTGCTTCTTTTGACATGGACTATCAAAAAGGAAAAGATATTAAAATTACTATGATAAAGGCATTAAATAACCTAACAAAAACTGTTTGGAAGTTGACAAGAACTGTTCAAAGCTTTATCAGTAGTAATTTGAAAATTAATGGCTCATAACCTATGCATCAAAGTTTTACTATATATTCTTTTTTATGCATAATCATATTTTTTTTTTTAAACATCTTAATACTATATCAATACCTTGTTATCCATTTCATTGTAAAGACTACCTTCTTTCTGAAAAATATAAGTATGAAAGTATATACAAAGAGGAGAAAAGAACCATACTAGAATCCAGTTAAAATTTGCAGCTGATCCCTCTACCACTACTAAACAAGAGGCCCAAGGGCCTTGAATCGCTCTTCTGATAAATTATACAATCTATCCTAAGACCCAAGATGCATCAACTAACAAAGTTTGATGATTCTTAGCCAGTTAGGGCTGAAGATATTTAAATGTAACTATAAAATACTATAAGTAGGTCATGGTGACCTACTTTTTGATTGAAATTTTCTGAGGACACAAGATGCATTAATTGACAAAGATTGATGATTCTAAGCCAATAAGTACTTGAGATATTCAAAAGTGGGTCACAGTGACCTACTTATTGGTCAACATTCTTCGAAAACCCAACGTGCATAAACTGACAAAGTTTGAAAATTCTAAGCCAATAAGTACCTTAGAATACTTAAATATAGCCATAAATGTCACAAGTAGGTCACTGTGACCTATATTTTGATCATCATCTTCCGATAACCCAAAATGCATCAAATAATAAAGTTTGATGATTTTAAACCAATAAGTACCCGAAATACCTAAATATAGCCATAAAATGACAAAAATAGGTCACTGTGACCTACTTTTTGGTCGACATTCTCCGAAAACCCAAGATGCATCTACTGACAAAGTTTGATGATTCTAAGCCAATCAGTACCTAAGATATTCAAAAGTGGGTCACCATGACCTACTTTTTGGTCAACATGCTCCGAAAACCTAAGATGCATCAAATCAAATTGGTTTAGAATCATCAAATTTGATGATTCTAAACAAATTAGTACCTGAGATACATAAAACTAGCCATAAAATTTCAAAAATAGGTCACTGTGACCTACTTTTTGGTCGACGTGCTCTGGAAACCCAAGATGCATCAAATGACAAAGTTTGATGATTCTAAGCCAATAAGTACCTGAGATACTAAAATATAGCCATAAAATGTCAAAAGTAGGTCACTGTGACCTACATTTTGGTCGTTAATCTCCCAAAACCCAAGATGCATCAACTGACAAATTTTAATAATTCTAAGCCAATTAGTACCCGAGATACTTTATTCTAGCCATAAAATGTCGAAAGTAGATCACAGTGACCAACTTTTTGGTCGACATTTTCTGAAGACCAAAGATGCATCAACTGACAAAATTTGATGATCATACGTCTAATAGTATTCAAAATATGCCTTTTAAACAATTTGAAAACAAATGCCTGCAAAGTTCAAAAAGTAGGTCACAGTGACCTACTTTTTGATAAATATGTTTTAAGGCCTCTAGATGCATCAACTTACAAGATTTGGTGATTCTAAACCTCTTGGTGTCTGAAATAATGGGATTAAATGTTTTAGAAAAGATTAGCCATAAAATTCAAAAAGTAGGTCACAATGACCTACTTTTAAGTTGATGTTGTTTGTGAACCCTAGATGCACCAACTGACAAAGTTTTATGATCATAGGCCTTAAAGTGTCCAATATATGCCTCCAAGTCAATTTGAAAACAAAAGCCCATAAAATTTAAAAAGTAGGTCACCGTGACCTACTTTTGTATTAACATGATGTTAAGTCCTGAGATGCATCAACTTACAAGATTTGATGATCCTAGTCATTATAGTAAGCAAAATATCGTTTTTAATAAGTGTAAATTTTGGTCAACTTTGAAGTGACCTTGAGACCACGCCCTTTGCCCCAGGGTCATGCCTTGAAACATTTTTAATCTTCAACATATCCTGACCCTTGTATGTAAGTTTGGTGAAAATCTGCCTGGTGGTTCTGGAGAAGATTTTTTAGCAACCAGTACTTTTGGTTTTATTTTCGTGATTATCTCCCCTTGTTTTAGGGTCCCACCCCTAATTTTAGTACAAATGGTAGCCCTTGGGCCAAGGATACCCTGTGACAAATTTGACAATAATTGGCCATGGGGTTCTTGAGTTATGGCCCATATTCTAAAAAGTTAATGCACACCGCACGACGCACACCACACAAATGGCCATAGCATTAGCTCTTTGAGCCTTTGGCTCAGAAGAGCTAATAAATTTACTCTTATTCTGGTGAAAAACATTCTCAAATAAATGCAAGTCACTATAAATATCATATATCATTCCATACAAAATTTTATTATGGAGCAAATACTGAAAAATTTTCATTTATGGGCCTTTCTAATGAAGTCATTGAACAGAATGACAAAAATAAAAAAGAAAGAAAAAACAATATTTATTTAAAATGAGGAATCACTTTAATTCATGTGACCAATTTTCTTGGAAATTGGGATGCTTAAAATTCAAATTAAAATATGGTAAACAAACGCCTTAATTTGAGAGAAATACTTGAAAGATCAATATTTGTGAAGAATGTTAATTTGTGAGTCGGGATATTTGGCAAAAATTGAACCTACAAAAAATAAGTTGACATCAAAGTACCTCTGAAGAACTAAGAGCATCTAGGAGGTTTTTCTTGCCAATGCCTGCATTATTTGATGAGGGTCCACCTTCATACTGAATTTTTAGTTTGGCTAAGTTTGTTTCTTCATCTGAAAAGTACAGTATCTCCACAAATAGTTACAAAGACGATTAAACAATTAAGCATCACATCACGATTAACATAAAACCAGAAGTCTCTGTCGAGACTGTAGCTCTACTGGTTTGTACTTATCAAAAACCATTGCACTGTTTTATGTATCTCTGTGTAGTCTACTTGTGTGCCAACTTATTTTGAAATCAAACTAAAACGGTAGAAGGAGTAGCGTTTTAAAGGAATTTCACAGAAAATTCTATTTTTAGTAACCATGGCAACACCGTTCATCGAAATCAAAAACCAATGCACTATTCTATGCATCTTAGTGTAGTCTACTTGTGTGCCAGGTTATATTGAAATCAGACCAAAACTGTAGAAGGAGTAGCGTTTTAAAGGAATTTCACAGAAAATTCTATTTTTAGTAACCATGGCAACACCGTTCATCGAAATCAAAAACCGATGCACTATTCTATGTATCCTAGTGTAGTCTACTTGTGTGCCAAGTTATATTGAAATCAGACCAAAACTGTAGAAGGAGTAGCTTTTTAAAGGAATTTACAGAAAATTCTATTTTTAGTAACCATGGCAACACCGTTCATCGAAATCAAAAACCGATGCACTATATATATATCTTAGTGTAGTCTACTTGTGTGCCAAGTTATATTGAAATCAGACCAAAACTGTAGAAGGAGTAGCGTTTTAAAGGAATTTCACAGAAAATTCTATTTTTAGTAACCATGGCAACACCGTTCATCGAAATCAAAAACCAATGCACTATTCTATGTATCTTAGTGTAGTCTGCTTGTGTGCCAAGCTATATTGAAATCAGACTAAAATTGTAGAAGGAGTAGCGTTTTAAAGGAATTTCACAGAAAATTCTATTTTTAGTAACCATGGCAACACTGTTCATCGAAATTAAAAACCGATGCACTATTCTATGTATCCTAGTGTAATCTACTTGTGTGCCAAGTAATATTGAAATCAGATGTGGAAGGAGTAGTGTTTTAAAGGAATTTCACAGAAAATTCTATTTTTAGTAACCATGGCAACACCGATCACCGAAATCAAAAACCGATGCACTATTCTATGTATCTTAGTGTAGTCTACTTGTGTGCCAAGTAATATTGAAATCAGACTAAAATTGTAGGAGGAGTAGCGTTTTAAAAATTGTTTACAGACAGACGGACAGACATTTGACGGACAGACAGACAGACAGACAGACAGACGGACGGACGACGGACGCATTACTATCGCATAAGCTCTTCTGGTCTCTGACCAGTAGAGCTAAAAATTACGAACAAATGAGCTTAATTTTCTAGTTCAATGGTATTTATAAAGTCAAGTAATTTACCAATAAAAAAAAATACAGCAGTAAATAATTACCAGCAGATTGACGGAGGCTTGGCACATGTTCTACTACATTGCGGGCCTTTGCCTGTGAAGGAGGGGGTCCCTGTCTGTTAACCGTGGGCATAAAATGAGCCCCCTGACACCCAGAGGAACTAACTGATCCTCCAGCTCTATACTGCTTCTTAGCTGGGGTGGGTAACTGAATTGTACAAAGTAATAGGTAATGACACTGGAAAAAGCACTTACATTTATAAACTGGAATGTGGAAAATAATGAACTGTACATATCTGACTATAGGAGACTCACCGTTTGTTCTGCAGTTTTGAAGAACACAATCATGTCCCTGAGTGCACGTCCGAATACGTCATATTTGTTCACATGAGGTCTCACCCACACAGGAAGCTGACGTATTGCCGACTCTCCAGCAAATCTACAACATGGTGATGTCAACATTTAAATAACATTGTAATCATGAAAAACAAATCTACAACATGACCATGGTGATGGCAACATTTAAATAACATTGTAATCATGGTCATGAAATGCAAATCTACAACATAACCATGGTGATTACAACATTTTAATAACAATGTAACAAAATCTGTATTTATAATTATTCATGCAGATAGACTGATTCTCTACCTCTCATCACATAGTAAAATGGCTCCATAGTCGTTTCTGTGCCTGATGACCCGCCCCACTGCTTGATTGACAGCTCTGGATGCCTGCTGTCTGTACCACTCCTGTCCTGATAAGCTCTAAAACAAAACCAGAAGTCTCTGTCGAGACTGTAGCTCTACTGGTTTGTACTTATTAAAAACCATTGCACAATTTTATGTATCTTTGTGTAGTCTACTTGTGTGCCAACTTATTTTGAAATCAAACTAAAACTGTAGAAGGAGTAGCGTTTTAAAGGAATTTCACAGAAAATTCTATTTTTAGTAACCACGGCAACACCGTTCATTGAAATCAAAAACCAATGCACTATTCGATGTATCTTAGTGTAGTCTACTTGTGTGCTAAGTTATATTGAAATCAGACCAAAACTGTAGAAGGAGTAGCGTTTTTAAGGAATTTCACAGAAAATTCTATTTTTAGTAACCATGGCAACAGCGTTCATTGAAATCAAAAACCGATGCATTATTCTATGTATCTTAGTGTAGTCTACTTGTGTGCCAAGTTATATTGAAATCAGACCAAAACTGTAGAAGGAGTAGCGTTTTTAAGGAATTTCAAAGAAAATTCTATTTTTAGTAACCATGGCAACACCGTTCATCGAAATCAAAAACCGATGCACTATTCTATGTATCTTAGTGTAGTCTACTTGTGTGCCAAGTAATATTGAAATCAGACTAAAATTGTAGGAGGAGTAGCGTTTTGAAAAATTGTTTACAGACAGACAGACAGACAGACAGACAGACGGACGGACGCCGGACGCATTACTATCGCATAAGCTCTTCTGGTCTCTGACCAGTAGAGCTAAAAATATAAGTTACACAATACTTACAACATTAATAGATTCTGAGATTCCTGTTATACCATCACCCCCAAATCATTTCAAATAAGGCCTAGAAAAAAAATATGTTTGTTTCCGCTTTCAGGCTGAAAAAGTATAGGGTAGGTAGGTAGGCAATTCTTTTTTTTTTTTGAAAAATTTTTTTTGGCTTCTTTAATCAAAACGTGTATAGAAGTAACATTAATGACAAAAGAAATGGTGTTTTCAAGCATTACTATGACTTAATTTATAATAGAAAGGTGACCCAAACTTCTTTCTGTCTTGAAAAGCTTGCAAAGTTGGAGGCTATAATTCCCTGGTTGAAATCTTGCACATCATGGGACAAAAGCATTAAAAAAATATTTAGGGTCGGCACTATAAATTAGGGTCGGTCGGGAAAGCGGAAACAAACATATTTTTTTTCTAGGCCTAATAACCAATACAATATTTATAGAATTGAGGAAAATATGTGTGTTCTGTTATGCCTTTAGAAATGAGCCATTCATAGCCAACAAAATATATCAATAAAGTGATTACAAAAAATACAAACAAGACATAAATTTTCTAATGTACATGAAATTTCAGAGTCACAGCCACTGATGCAAGCAGGGGTAATAGCTTGCAGAAAATGAAAAAGCAGTTCCTTTGATCTGTGCACATAGATCTCCAATTAAACTGAAACCAGTGTAACCAGGAAGATTTTGCAGCTTGCCAAAAATGAACATAAAATGAGAGACAATATCTCCCACTCACAGATATCGTATGAAATACTAAACAGGATATGGACTCATTCACATTTTATAGATTAATAAACTTTAAACACTAGCTTTCCTAATAAAGCAATCACATGACCAGGAACTATTTATTGATACTCTTATTCTTAATCAATATCGCTGAATATGTACAAGTAGGTATAAAATTTTATTTTAAAGAATTATTTAATTTTAAATGAAACCCATGTCATATTGCTTTTAATACTTTTATCTGAACATCTAAATAAATAGTGTATCCATATTTAAAATTTCAATTATTATAAAAGAATATCAACGATACATGTATTTAAAAAAGATTATGAAAATTCAGTTAAAATCTCATCATTTAAATTAATTTCATATCAGAGAGGGCTTTTAAAATGACATTTTGAGAAAAAAAAATAAAACATAGCATGGGCTATGTAATTTCATCAATATTTGCCAAGAAAAAAAGTTCTTTTCAGGAAATCTGACAAAATATAGCAACAAGGCCACCCTTAAAAAATTGTTTGTTTGGAATTGCCGGCTAGAGGGTTTCAGACACCGGAGGGAGGGAGGGAATTTATTTATTTTTTTTAAATGAAGATAAATTTTTTATACAAATCTCAGTAAACACATTTTCAGACTGTTTAAAAAAGTATCTACCATCAACAAAGAAACTTAATTTTGCATAGATCTGACACTAGATTTCAGAGTTTTGTATTGTGCATGTGATAACGTGCAAAAAATTAAATAAAAAAATCTTCCTACTTTTGGTCAATAAAATTATTTCAGGAGGGGGCATTTCAATGAGGCGGGAGGCAATTCCAAACAAACAATAATTTTATTTTGGCCCAATTAGTATATGTTCCCTTTTTGCTAATATAGTAAAACATTCTTATATTAAGGTCCTAGGGATTGAATATTTCCTTCGTTATAAACGTAATTCGTTATGTTCGATAAGTTCACATAACATTTTAAAGCAAAGGGGGATTAAAATCACTTCACTGTAAGAGTCAATTCATTATATTCGTGTTCGTTATAACTGTGTTTTACTGTATACGCTGGGGTAAAAAAAATATTATTTTAAAAATCTATTGCAGACATAGATTTAGATCCAATCATCCTTGTGACCTTGGCTTTAACGATGTATCAAGATCACTCACACAATGTTCAAAGGCAGCCAAAAGTGGAATTTGTTCACTGGAATTTTATCAAAGAATATGCAACAAGTAAAAATTCACACTACGCAATTCAGAATTTGATCCATTAAAGAAAATCACGATGGAAGCAAGTCTTCATTGTATCTTACATCCAGAACAGGGATGTGCAGCCTACTGCTTGCAGTGTAATGTCCCTATCTGTAGTAATTGTGTGACTAAATGTCACCAGAGTCACAGCCTGGCTGATATTGTGGAAATGGAGAGCATTAAACAAGTGAAGAAAAGAGAAATGGAGGAAGACAGTGCTGAAATTGAGGAGATTCTGATCCCCCAATTCCAGAAGGAGGAAGCTAACATTGAAAATCACATATCAAAGACCCTAATCAAATACAAGGCTTTGGAAGAAACTGCAGAGGGTTACAGAAACGAGTGGCATGATGCAGTAGACATGATGTTTAACCAGTATCAGAGAGATATACACAATACAAGAGACAAAGATATAGCTACACTGAAAAACAGCCAATTACAAATAAGGAAAACCCTTCTGGAAATGCCACAGATCATTCAGCTTAACACAGAGGCACTGAAATCAGAAAATAACTCTGACAAAATCATTCAATACAAGTCTAAACTCAGTGCATTAAGAAACAGTCTTCCTAAATATGAAGTGGGGGTTCCTACATTTACCACCCCTCCAATACAGGTGGGGACAGGACTCTGTGTGGAGTTTGGGGAAATCAGATCGCTGCTCATCTCCATGAATTCTTTGGATTCTATGACAACAGGTCAACCGATAAAAAGACTTCTGGACAGGTTAGTTATCAAGGCTGATTTTGAAACTGAGGTTGAAAATCTACTGCGTATGGTTTATTGTGGCAAAAATGAGGTTTGGCTTAGTGGGAAAGAGGGCAGTATCAGTCGTGTTAATATTCACGGGACTAACCTGGAAAGTCTTGAAGCAATGAATACCAAATTACAAGACATCTCTATGACTTTAGAGGGAGAGTTAATCTATAGTGATTACCTGAACAAAACTGTGAACATTGTCAAAGGTAGTGAAACAGAGGTACTGCTGGATGTGGAGCCAGGGTGGCACCCACAGGGAGTCTTCTATACAAAAGTAGGTCATATCCTGGTTACCATGAGAACAGCAGGTGATTGTCACTGCAAAATTGTCCGATACAAAGGAAAGGTCATAGTCCAAGAAATTCAGTATGACAAGTCAGGAAACTCTCTTTTCAGCAGTGGTTATAAATGTGTGTTCTTAGCAGAAAATAACAATGGTGATATATGTGCTTCTGACACCAATTCCAGCTCTTTAGTTGTGGTGGACAAGGCAGGAGATTTGCGTTATATATACCGTTGTGACACTAGTTTGAGGAGGAAATCATTCGTCCCAGATCAAATTGTGACCGACTCCCTGTGCCAGATTATACTGACTGATTATGTTAACAATTGCCTACACATATTCCATAAGGATGGCCAGTATCTAAAGTGTATCAGCCACCCCGATATTGACCTGCCTATAGCCCTGGCCATAGACAATGAAGACAGGCTGTGGGTTGGTCAGTATGTTTCTGGAAATGTCAAGGTCATTCAGTATATGAAATGATCCCAAAAAACACTATCTTTATGACCAGGCTACATGGCCATATAACATAGAGTTCACTTTTGAATAAGTTTCACTTTAACAAAAGTAATATCTCGTGGAAAAGTGAAACTAAGATCAAACTTAAACTTATATATGTATTAGGTTTTATAACCCTCGAGTAAGAACTAATTCTACCAATGGTCCAAAGTATCAAGAAGATTAGTTTATCGTTTCTTGATATCAAGTGGTTAATATCCATTTATAGAATAAAAGATCTTTTAAAAAAATTAGTTTACTCTCCCTTTTGAAGAAAAAATAATTTTCTCTCTAGGAAAATATTTATCTACATGCAATTAATCTGTGGGAATAATTTGCATACATGCAATGGATAGGCCTTTGTCTTTTTTATAGTCTAGATATCTGAAATTTTGTCTCTATTCAATAACTGAATTGCTAAATGCCTAAAAATATACCTGTCATTTTAGGTTAAGTATGTTTCTTGCATCACAATACCACAGATCTACATGTAAGAGGCTTAACAATGAAACTATTTATATATTTCTCATGTTTGTCATTATAAGGAAGAATGCTGATACATGTACATGCATGTATGAACCAACATCAGCAAGTGTTGCTATTTCCTATCCCACTCATCTACAGGAAATGCAAAAGCCCTAAATATAACAGTGTTAAATGTAAATTAGTGTTTGAACTCTAAATACCAGGAAATCATAAATAAAGGACAGATTTGCTATTAACTTTTGATGTTGATAATTAATTGCTATGTACAAAGCACGAAGCAGTTTTGACTCTTTGGACAAAAAAATCATAATCAAAATTCCATGTACCTTGAATCCCATTTTCCCTCTTGACTCGTCCAAAAACTGCATTTTGAGCACCACTTTAGGGTCCATACGAGGTGGGAAGGGCAGACCGGTGATAATCACAGCACGCCCATTGTTGTCGGCAAAGTCCAGGCCCTCACTTACCTTTCATTTTGAAAAAAGGTTATAAGTAATGGATAAGCAATATCTTTGGATAGTAATTCAGTGGAAAAAAACATGCATTTAAAACAAATATTTGGCTGGCTCAAAAAAAATCATGGAAAGAATTTACAGTACCTTTCCTCTGCAAACTGCTATAAATATTGCTCCATTTAGGGCTGGGTCATTAATTTTATCATAAAATTCTTCAATGACCTAAATAATTAAATGTACATTGGTCACTGCTAGGTAAATATACCTTTAAAGTATAAATGCACATAAAACATGAGAAAGAGATAGATAAAGAAAGAGAGAGATTTACTTACATCATTGAAAGCCTGTTTTCCTCTTGGTTCAACCAGGATAGGCTTATACTGGGTAATTGAACTATATACACCATTTTGCTGAACAAGAATGAGAACAATTTTATGAAGCAAACAAAGGAAAAATCACTGTCCTGTAGAAATGTTGTGCATAAAGAAATACTTACATGCCAGTTTTCTATACATTTCTCCATCACAGGGTAAGATGGGAAAAACACCAGGAGACCATTAGGCACCACTCGGGCAAAATTTACTGAAATGATGTAGAGATCAATTACACTACACCTAATCAAAGTGAAAAGTGTTTTTGTCTATTTTTATTAAGTATAAAGGTTAAATATGATTTTGTACAAACCTAGTGCTTTTCCTAGAGAAGCTTGGTAATTTTCATTAAACCTATCAAATAATACCACAAAATTAATGTGGAAATATTCAACAATGACCAAGAGGATTTATAACAGAAAAGAAAGGGCAAGAGGACTGGGGAGATACATTTCATACACTAAAACACACACACTAGGATACCTTGTTTGGTAGTTAGAGTTGAGCCCCACTCCATCAGGGCCTTTGTTAAGAGTCCCCACCCACACCTGATGTTTGTCAATCACATGGGGATTCTCCAATGTCACAGGGAAGGGGCTACAGAAACAAGGTCAGTTTAGTGACCACAAAGTGTGAGTGGTAGTGTAAAAACAATATGTCCTTTTTCATTATACCTTTACATGTATTTTATCAGTAACTTAAAATTTCAAAACTTAAAATCAACACTTACATCTGCATCTCTGCACTGAAGGAGTCCAGGGGAGACAAAGTGCCACTAGTCAGAATCACACACTTCACTCCATGGGCAGTCAGGTCCAGCATACTGTGTCCAGGGCTGAAACACCAGTAACTCAGGGTTTTACCTGTAAAACAAGTCTACACATAAACACCACTAACTAAACTTACACTTCAACCAAGCGAGTTGTACATGTATATTCATGAATTAGTGCTACACACTAATGCACTTTATATTGCATTAATAAATGATTTCTTAGTGGTATTCATGAATTATGTCTGCGCCAAAGCCACTGAAATAAGAAGCCCGCTCTTTCAAGTACATATACAGTTTAATTAAAAAATTACTTACCCATTTTATCTGCCCCTGCTGGGGTGGCCCAGGAGTCTATCTTTTTCTTTTTGTTGGGTTGGACTGGCTGGATATGTACCTAAAGACAAAGGACATTAACTTAATAGGACATCAATTTATAAAAAACACACTCAGAGAAAGAGTCAACATGGCAACCACAGATCTAAAGTATTTCAAAAGTTTTTTAAACTTTTGAAGCAACTTAAGTCACTGTACATGAGAATAAAATTTCTTTTCTTGGATGACCAATAAATTTTGAGTATAATCCAGGTTTACCTTGTAAGATTTGGCCAGCATCTGCTGAAGTTGATAAACAGATCCCCCATCTGGTACCTCCCGACTGAATACTATCTGAAAAACAGAGGCTTATTTCAAAACAGTCTCGTGAAATACTTCATAATATAGTGTTCATTTAAGTGGTTCTATAGAGATGATTTATGTAAGAATTTATAGTTTGCTGTTTAATCCTTTACTGAAACTCATCACAACTCATAAAATTTAGTTATAAAATTCTTAAAGTATCATTTCAAAACCTTCTATATTGTTCAATGAATGGAATTGAAAAATTTGCCATCTTTGACTTGTTATATCACCAAAATTTCAAACTGCAAGAATTACTCATCATATAGAAATATACACTAATAGTCTATTCTGACAGACTCTGACTTACTCTAAGTACATCTGACATCTTTGTTAAGCCTGCTCCTTTAGAATGGAATCCCATTCCCGTAGCTAAAAGAAGAAAAAATGTAAATTTTCAACTTGAAAGTCCTTTTCAACTAGTGTTCTTTATTACTGCGAGTAAAGCCAATATTAACTGCTTTATCCTTGCAAATTATCCACTTAACCCATGTTTTAAATTATCCACTGAATCTAAAAGAGATCCATTATCTAAAACATTTTGTTGCATGCATCAACAATGCCTATTTGATTCTGGTTTTTATTACTGCTATTCTGAAATGAATCTGCACTTTTTAAAAAAAACATTACTTAAAGTTCAGATTATTAATCATTTACCTAAATTTCCAACCTGATACAAAATTTTATTAAGGATGAAAACAGTGTTTGGCACAAGAACAATTCTTGGGAAACATCTTACATGTATATTGCAAATCAATGTATGAAGAGGGAGATGTTTCTGAATGACTTACAATCACCGGTTACATAGGAGATGATTTTATCCAAGAGATCCAGCAGAAAGTTTTTAGTTTCAAATGCAATGTTGACCTTCGATAAAAGCTCAAATATAAATCTGAAAAACAGAATTCAAAATTTGACCAACTTCATTTAAATCCTACAGAATGTACATGTAATTCAAACTTTTGATTTCACTATAAGATACATGTAAAACTAAACTTACGTTCCAGGTTTTGTTAAGCCCTTTTCTTTGTTGGGAATTTCTATCTTATCTATTTGTTCTTCTAGTTCTTTGAAAGTTGCTACAGAGTTAAATATACCATTGATAGTCAGAACATAATTTGATTACAGGTAAACATATTTCTTTTGAATCATATCATATTAAAATTTCATTAAAAGTTTCCAGATGCCAAATTGATGCATGATTATGCTATAATAAACCATGTAAATTTCTGTCTTTAATACAATTAGAAAACAGACCACAAATTCTTGTGCGACCCTTATGATTTATAGCTGAAACATAACTGCAGTCAATTTTTTGCTTATCAATTAGCTGCAACGCAATAAATCTAATAATATTAGATATACACGTATATATGTGGTTACCTTTCAGTCGTAAAACATCCTCCAAAGTAAATTCTGGTTCTGTAATGACAATTATTTTTTGCATCAGAAACATAATACTAACAAAGATAATAAACTAGAAATATGTCCATAGGACAAGAATGCCCCGCCGAGGATATATTAGTAAAGCAACATGAAAAATCGTATGTGTATAAAATTTGATCAGTTTGGTTCAGGTAGGGCTTATAGTTACTTGGGAATAAAAATGTAGGTCAGATCCAGCATCTGAAGCAAGTCTGGTAGTGTCCATCCCTAGATGCATCATCCATGCAAGTTTGGTTTAGGCAGGGCTTATAGTTACTTGGAAATGAAAATATAGGTCAGATCCAGCATCCGAAGCAAGTCCGGTAGTGTCCATCCCTAGATGCATCATCCATGCAAGTTTGGTTCAGGTAGAGCTTTTAGTTGCTAGTGAATGAAAATATAGGTCAGATCCAGAATCCGAAGAAAGTCTGGTAGTGTCCATCCCTAGATGTATCATCCATGCAAGTTTGGTTCAGGTAGAGCTTATAGTTACTTGGGTATGAAAATATAGGTCAGATCCAGCATCCGAAGCAAGTCTGTTAGTGACTATCTCTAGATGCATCATCCATGCAAGTTTGGTTCATGTAGAGCTTATAGTTACTTGGGAATGAAAATATAGGTCAGATCCAGCATCCGAAGCAAGTCTGGTAGTGTCCATCCCTAGATGCATCATCCATGCAAGTTTGGTTCAGGTAGGGCTTATAGTTACTTGGGAATGAAAATATAGGTCAAATCCAGCATCCGAAGCAAGTCTGGTAGTGTCCATCCCTAGATGCATCATCCATGCAAGTTTGGTTCAGGTAGGCTTATAGTTACTTGGGAATAAAAATATAGGTCAGATCCAGCATCCGAACCAAGTCTGGTAGTGTCCATCTCTAGATGCATCATCCATGCAAGTTTGGTTCAGGTAGGGCTTATATTACTTGGGAATGAAAATATAGGTCAGTTCCAGCATCCGAAGCAAGTCTGGTAGTGTCCATCCCTAGATGCATCATCCATGCAAGTTTGGTTCAGGCAGGACTTATAGTTACTTGGGAATGAAAATATAGGTCAGATCCAGCATCCGAAGCAAGTCTGGTAGTGTCCATCCCTAGATGCATCATCCATTTAAGTTTGGTCTAAGTAGGGCTTATAGTTCCTTGGGAATGGACCTGCTCCAAAAACTTTAACCTGGTCACTCATCTGAAAAACGTAGGTCAGATGCAGCATCCGAAGCAAGTCTGGTAGTGTTCATCCCTAGATGCATCATCCGTGCAAGTTTGTATCAACATGTGAAGTTTGATAACACCATCTTGAATGGTATGTTTAAAACTGAGCAAAACACTAATTTAAGAAAAGTGAGGTCAAGGTCAAAAGAAAGGTCAAGGTCAAAAAATGTTGATGCAGTTGCATAGCTCTCATCAATATCTATCAGCATATGAAGTTTGATGAAAATGTCTTGGATAGTTTCTTTGAAACTTAGCTTTGAACACAGCTCAACACAAAGTGTGACGGAAGGACAGAAGGACGGAAAGACGGAAGGTACAAACACTATATGCCCCAGCCATATTCATGGCGGGGCATAAAAATATGTCAAGGTCAGAAATCACTATATCCACAATAGCTGAAGATTGGCATTGTATGACATCACATACACATACTGTAAACAAGAGGCCCATGGGCCAAATCGCTCACCTGAGTACCGTAGCTTAGAAAAAGTAGAAATTGGTTTATTATTGAAAAGTTAAAATCCAAAAGTAATCCCATGATCAATCATGGATTTGCTATTCTTCAAAGAATTTTCCCATATATTTCTATGTAAAACTTTGGTCGGCCATGTTGGCCCCGTCCTACCCCCTGGGGTCATGATTTGAACAAATTTGAATCTACACTACCTGAAGATGCTTCCATATAAATATGATGAATTATGGCTCTGTCATTCTTGAGAAGAAGATATTTAAAGAATTTTCCTATATATTTCTATGTAAAACTTTGGTTGGCCATTTTGGCCCCGCCCTACCCCGTGGGGTCATGATTTGAACAAACTTGAATCTACACTACCTGATGATGCTTCTATATATATATGATGAATTATGGCTTTGTCATTCTTGAGAAGAAGATTTTAAAAGAATTCTCCCATTAATTTCTATGTAAAACTTTGGTCGGCCATTTTGGCCACGCCCTACCCCGTGGGGTCAGGATTTGAACAAACTTGAATCTACACTACCTGATGATGCTTCTATATATATATGATGAATTATGGCTTTGTCATTCTTGAGAAGAAGATTTTTAAAGAATTTTCCCATTAATTTCTATGTAAAACTTTGGTCGGCCATTTTGGCCACGCCCTACCAATGGGGGTCATGATTTGAACAAACTTGAATCTTCACTACCTGAGGATACTTCCATATAAATTTCAAATTTGATGAACTATGGCTTTGTCATTCTTGAGAAGAAGATTTTTAAAGAATTTTCCTATATATTTCTATGTAAAACTTTGGTCGGCCATATTGGCCCCGCCCTACCCCCGGGGGTCATGATTTGAACAAAATTGAATCTTCACTACCTGAGGATACTTCCATATAAATTTGATGAATTATGGCTCTGTCATTCTTGAGAAGAAGATTTTTAAAGAATTTTCCTATATATTTCTATGTAAAACTTTGGTCGGCCATTTTGGCCCCGCCCTACCCCCTGGGCTCATGATTTGAACAAACTTGAATCTACACTACCTAAGGATGTTACCCCATAAGTTTCATTTTTTCTGGCACAGTGGTTCTTGATCTTGAGAAGATTTTTAAAGAATTTTCCTATATATTTCTATGTAAAACTTTGGTCGGCCATTTTGGTCCCGCCCTACCCCGGGGGTCATGATTTGAACAAACTTGAATCTTCACTACCTAAGGATGCTTCCATATAAATTTGATGAATTATTGCTCTGTCATTCTTGAGAAGAAGATTTTTAAAGAATTTTCCTATATATTTCTATGTAAAACTTTGGTTGGCCATTTTGGCCCCGCCCTACCCCCAGGGGTCATGATTTGAACAAACTTGAATCTTCACTACCTGAGGATGCTTCCATATAAATTTGATGATTTATGGCTCTGTCATTCTTGAGAAGAAGATTTTAAAAGAATTTTCCTATATATTTCTATGTAAAACTTTGGTCGGCCATTTTGGCCCTGCCCTACCCCCAGGGGGTCATGATTTGAACAAACTTGAATCTACACTACCTGAGGATGTTACCCCATAAGTTTCATCTTTCCTGGCACAGTGGTTCTTGAGAAGAAGATTTTTAAAACATGCCACCAAATTTTCATTAATTTGCAATTATCTCCCCTTGAATGAGGGTGTGGCCCTTCATTTGAACAAACTTGAATCCCCTTCACCCAAGGATGCTTTGTGGCAAGTTTGGTTGAAATTGGCCCAGTGGTTCTTGAGAAGAAGTCGAAAATGTGAAAAGTTTACAGACAGACAGACAGACAGCTAGACAGACAGACGGACAGACGGACGCCGGACAAAATGTGATCAGAAAAGCTCACTTGAGCCTTCGGCTCAGGGGAGCTAAAAAGTCATATGCTTAACATTTAGCACAATCTTCCTTATGAATTCATTAAGGCAATAAGAAGTTTAAGTGCATTTAGAACGGTGAACCAAACTTCAATACTTCAACCATCTGTTAGTGTGTACTTCATAAGCAGACAAAATGTAGTGCAAATGTGCTAAAATAAGAATCCCACTATGTATTAACATTTACAGTACCCGGGTACCCCGGTATATATTTTTGTACAATACATCATTATGACTGTCACCTGGAATAGCACTAGAATCTGTCATTTCCACCAGGGAAGTTTCTTCATTTTTAGCGAGTTCAAACAATTTATCAGCTAGGCGACTGAGTTCCTCAAGCACTGTGGCTAGGTCTGCCGACGTCAAATCAAAAGAGGAGCTGTCCTCACATATCTTCTCCTGAATAAATACAGAAGGACAATTATGACTTCTTATCAGGAACATTAAACTGATTAAACTATTCAATAATATTTTTTTTTGTTTCTGAAGTCCTCACCAAATTATGGGCTTCATCAAAGATGACTATACTGCCTTGTACTTCGACACCATGAGCTTTTCTTGACTGAAAAAATCCAAAGAGGTATTTCGTCATTAAGTTATCTGCCTACTGGAGAATTTATTATAAAATAAAATGATTATGACCGAGTAAAAAATTCACTTTTCTAAAAAATCTTCGACAAATGTGTCATACATGCTTCATGGAAAGCTTCACATTACCTTGGCATCAAGTAAGTAGTTGTAAGGCATAAATATTATATCTGCATCATTCTTTAGTTCTTTTGCAATGTAGTATGGACAAACCCTAAAAAGAAAAATAAAAGAAAGTCAGACTAGAGACCTACATCTAGAATACATGAACTTCAAAATCACTTTTTGAATATCATTTCAAATTTAATAGAAATTAATATGCAAACCTTTGTTTTTCTCCAAATCTCACCATGTCTTCTATGTCCACCACATCTCCTACCAACTGTCGAGGGTCACTGTTACGTTTGATCTCTGAAACAACCCCAAAATCATTAAAATTCATATTCTTGGATTGTAATGTATAAAAATTTCAAAAGAACTATATGCGGTATATTGCATATATTTGCCCCCACAAAAGTCATATTTTGAAAACTTCCTGAAATGTGCTGAATTCAATAAATTGTATGAGAAATATAAATTAACAGAAAATATTATAGTGTCAAAGCAGTGTATTCACAATTTTTGTTTTTATGACATCACAAACTAGTCCGATTTTATATCCTTTTTCAGAAAGAGGACAAAATGGACAAAATTTCAACAATTTTAGCTTTAAAATCTATAGAGCGCAAGTTTGTTCTGGAACAATATTGATATATTTCTTTGATATTATCATTCTACACATTATATCAAAATATTGATCCTGAACACATATGCGCTCGGTGACTTTTACTCAAAATATCGACGAAATACGAGGGCCGTTCAAAAATTACGCGGACTGTGTTATTATTTACTCTTACAGACGTCATAGAGTTATGAATTTTCACAGAAATATGTATCTCAAAGATTCCAATAAATTTTGACCAAAATTTATGTATTTTAAAAACATTCTACTAAAATTATCGGTATATTGATATCGCTGATTGAGAGGTACGGAGCACGACAAAAAATCTTAAGCAAAAGCATTTGGAATCCAAAATTTAACTCATTTATTTTCTATAATTCGCAATATTTTTCGACAATTTTCTCAAATGTATCTTTAAATTGTTCTATTATTATGTATTTGAATTTCTGGCGTGATATTTGAAGTACTAACAGAAATAAAGTAATTTTCCTCTGATGCGATTCCCGTGAAAACGACTGTGAAAATGACGTTTCGTGAAATGACGGCGCACCACACTTTAGTTAAATTATGTGTAATGCTCGAGATATTGCCAACATAGATCCAAAATATGAATAATAAAACATGTAGTAAACTAGGATATTCGTGACATTCGTCCACAAATAGCAAATAGGAATTTTAGACCATTAGACCTCTGAAAAATGGCTATACGGGAGGACGGGAAGAAGATTATCGACGAAAACTTTTTTCCGGACTGTAAAGAACGTGATTGAGAGTCATCAATATCACACTATATCTCATAAATGTGACCGCGACTGGGAAAAAGGGTCCAGATGAGTAAAAAATCAAAATTAATTTTATTGTCTTTTTAAAATCAGGATACTTTGAATAACACAAATTCAAAATTTCGTGCAAATATCATTGAAAATAAAGAAGATACAGGCCCAGGAATGCAGGCATCTTCAAGTCATATCATAACGTCAGTGACGTTACCATAACGTCGTAATTAGAAAACATATCTCAACAATTTCAGTCTATTGGTATATTAAGAACATTCTCTTCTTTTTCTTTAAACTCTTCTTAAAATTTTGCTTAGATATGATGAAAATAAACCGAATCATTAAATATACTGTCATTCTTACTTATTACATATGACTGTTACTTGTTACATATGGCTATTGCCAGTATTGGAACAACTGAATTTGATTCAGAAGTCTGACTTATTATCCTACCAGCATCGATGACCAAAGAGAGAAAGGGAAGAAAACATGCATAATATGCACAAAATAATCCAACCATTTATTTTCAATAAAATAAACTCTAGAAACATGAGAAATGCACAATAATTATTATCAAGATAAATATGCAAATTGAAATTACATTCCAAAATAACAAAAAAGTTATCATTCCCTGACAAAATACACCAGGAATCACATAAATTACAGAATGACAGAGGTTCTTTGACAGCTATAAGCAAAATCACAAAAATATGAATAGCAGGTAACTACATGTATTTTTAAAGCAAGCACTCTGAATATTGCAAACATGCATATTATAGATAAAATGTACTGTTATGATATTACAGATGTATGCATCTGTACTTTCTTAACATTATCAACAGTATTAAGTATAAAGATTATAACAATTAAATTTTTGGGGGCAGTGTGAAAATCGCATCTTTTGAAAATTAAAAAATCTGTAGTTAATCATATTTGACAAAGTTTTGTAATATTTTTGGTTATACTAAATATATCCAAAGTACATTTAAAGGAAAATGTCAAAGAGAAGGTGAAAACATCATATAACAATTTTCTTACTGTTACACATTTTTTTAACTGTTGAGATGTAACACTACTCATAGGACACAGCTTATGTAAACAATTGGGTAAACGTAACAATTCCAACAAATGTTTTAATGCAATGAAATTTGATGGACAGAAAAGTACATGAATGTAACACATTATGGGAAATAACACAATAGGAACTACATGTATACATCTTACTTCTAATCTTTCTTACACACAATAATCCTCCCTTTCATCTAAGGAGAAGACTTTTCCTTTTCCCCAAGTGTGACTTACTAGAATGATAAGGTGAATAAACTTTCACCTCTTTCTTTGGTATGACTGGTTTTGGACAGGATGTGTCTTTAGAAGAGAGTGATAGGCAATGTTCACGAATTTCCTCATACAAGTACCATTGCCTCTTGGGGTCAAGACCAGGTGCTGGGATTTCTTGAGGCAGAGGATCATTTACAGAGGGAAGGATATTCTGATCTTTCAGGAGATTAACACACAAAGGAACAGAATTACAGAGTTCCTTACATTCAACAACACCAGGTGTCTCAGCACTTACTCGGAAATGATGATAGCCTCGAATGTTTTTCAACGGTTTGAAGAACTGGTCAAGGTATGACTTCCAGTCCCTAAACTGCACAGGTGTTTGTGGATCTGACACGAGCTGAGGAATGTTATGGCCTCTGCGGGATGAATGACGGACTGTGTCTGCTATTTCATTCATGGTTTCTGCTGTAAATGAACGCCATTTTACTTTCCAGACTCCAAAATGCCAGTCAGGATCAAATTTAGTGTGTCCTGCCACCATCATAGAATATTCCACAATAACATGGAGTCCTGATTGAAAAGAAATACACTCCTTAATTTAAATTTAAATGCTAAATTTAGAAAGAGTTCACATTTCTTGACTATCAAAACTGACATCATACATGTATGTAACACTTTGGGCATTGAACATCATGAACATACTGAATATCAAACAATGCTTTTACAAATTAAATCAAATATTTTTCAATTTTCTTTTGATGTACACTTACCTACAAGAACTCTCCATAGAGCATACCATAAGACAAAGTTGTTTTTGTTTTGCCCACTGCAGTTGTCGAAATGAATGGCTGCTGTTTTTTCTCCATATCCATGGTATTGAAAAAAGTGGTGAACCATACTAATGACAGAATTAGCACCCTTCCCTGTGTTCTCAGCCTCGTCAATCAAGTAGAACACTTGTTTTCCTGCCATTTAAGTAAAAACAAAAATTTTGATCAGAACTTAATACGGTAACTCAACCATGGCCATTTACTTGTTTATTTACCTTATATGTATGCATTATGACAAAAACAGAATGTGTTAATATTTTGCTGCAACTATATTTAATAGAATTCATAAGAACCAAAATTGTTTTATTCAGACTCAGTCCCATACATGTATTATTCTATATTTGAAAGAGTATCCTCCTTTACATGTGATTGTACTATTTCGTCAAATATTAGATTTCCACATAAAAGGTAATTAATAAATTCTTATAAGAATTACATGTACAGTTAATTCTGAATGAATTGAAGAACTAAGCAATATATATCTGACATATCATGACTTATGAATTAACATACCTGAACCCTCGCAACATACACCAAACACATTGCACTTCCGGGGCGTCTTAAAAAATATTGGTCCCACTTGTTGGGCATGATGTGGAAAATGAACTTGTTGAGCATAGTCCCAGGAATAGTGCATTTCCACATCAACTGAGCATGGAGCATTTCCTTGAATAAAATTAATCATTCTTGATCATTTGTATGCATTGAAAGTTATTCATTCTATTTACTAGCTCATGAACAAAGAAATTCAATTTTACAGAAGAAATTTTTGCAAACACTTTGGTATGTCTGTTTTCCTATTAATAGTACAAAGGAAAAGAGGAGAAAATGCATGGCTGGAATTGAACCCTTGACCCCTGGTCAGGTGTTCTACCCATTGAGCTACCCAGGCTGATAAAATAGTCCAAATCCAAGCACATATAATAGTACAAGAATGTTCATTTAATGGCATCAATGCTAATGAAGGAAAGTATACCATACTTGTAACTATACAATAAAGGAAAAATTTAATTTTGCAATAAAATTTTAACTTACCAGTTTGTTTACATTCCTCTGGTAAGGAAATGAACACTTCCTTGCTGGTGGTACACTGGTGTCTGTAGTAGTCTCTTTGCTGTTTAGCTTGGGAAACATGCTGCGTGTAAGTAGAAAGGATTTCTTCCTTTTCCTCATCATTCATATTAGAAACTGTCGACAGTTGATGAGAGAAATTCTGACAAAGCTGACACAGGTCAGTGCATGGCTTCATGATTGTAATGAATGGACACAACTCATGCCAAGTTCTTTGAAATGTCCTTAAGTGTATTCTTCTGAAGTTCATTTCTTCAGCTAGAATCTCATACTTAGCATGAATGTCAGCAGTTGTCGTATCCGATGGAAGTAGAAGCACTTTCTCAGATTTGTAATTTGGCAGTCGGCCTGGTAGAGGCAGGGCATGGTCACTAGCATACTTGGTAATAAATGTTTTGATTCGATCCCTGTCTGTCACTGATAAGCTATTATGCGGAGCCTTACCACTGTTTCCATGTGTTCTGGGTAAAAACCCTTCTGTATCAAGAGATCTGGCAACTTTATGGAGTTTTTTTCTTTCAACCGCATGTACAAAACAAAATGTTGTACGACACACTCTGCATCCATTGAAGTAGTACTCCTGAAATGGTCTTTCTCGTTCTTTTTCTCTGTGTTTCTTGGACTGTGTGACAGAACCAGATCGCCTATGTGCAAACATTTCAACTTTAAGTATAGTGTCAAGTTCCTCCCGAGTACACTGTAGACAATGATCACGGAACTCACATGCTGCATCAAAGTCAATTTTCGTGCTACATGGCATTCCATAAAACTCCTTACACCCGCAAGTGTCATTCTGAAATTTGGAACGGATTATGTATTCCTTCGTGTCGGTGTCATTAACTTCATTCGGTATATATACATCCCCATCATAGTTGTCATTGTCACTTTCAGAGTCAGAATCATAATTTACATCACCAAAATCACTCGTATCTGTCTCGCTGTCACTTGACAGATCACAAAACTGTCTGTCGCGCACGTTAGATTTTGGAGCAACAAGTTTAGAGAAATATAATTCGTCCACACGCTCTATATCTTCTAAAAATTCATCATCTTGATAAAGAACAATTTCTGATGGTATACTTATCGATGTTGCTGTGGAAGTTTGGCTCATGTTTAGTGCTTGAACTCCCTACATTTCCAGTTTACAACTTTACTGTGACTTTCACTTTCAATCTATTTTCAACCGGAAATGTAAACACGCCTGCTGTTATGGACAGAGTTATTGCTCTTTACAACCCGCGGTAAATTCAAATTAAAATAAAAAAAAACGTAATAAAATATATTACAAAACATTACAACAAACATTTTCATTTTCATAATTAATACTTTAAAATACGAGACAGAGATAAACTTTTTCAGAAGCACGTGTACTGCAATTTTTTTCACGCGTTATTTTTTTTTCGATTGTGACGCAAACATTCAGAACTATCGCCGATTTCTCATTATGACGTGTGCCGCATCTGGACCCTTTTTCGCAGTCGCGGTCACAAATACCTGCAGTTTTTTGTTTTAAAACAAAAAAAGAATATTCTTTACTTGTTTCATAGATTTAAAGCTTGACAAGAAATGGTGTTTGGATGTTGAGTAGATAAGATAACTCAAACTGTACAGGTACTCTTAGGAAAATGTTGAGAAAATAAAAGCTCAATCACATATTTTTTTATGATGTCTGTGACGTCGAAGATGTTGCTGCTCCGTGACTTCATGATATGTCCTGAAAAATCGCTCAAAATTGATACCAATCTACAACATTTTGATATGAAATTTGGTAGACCATATAAAGAAAGATTCTTTTATATTATGTGCGACATTTTGCCCGATTATGTCGCCAAATATTTTTTCTGTGCAGCAAGTTCGCGTAATTTTTGAACGGCCCTCGTATGTACCTTTTTCTGTAAAATTCATAAAAAACTGAAATTTACGTCATGTTTGTGACGTCATTACGTACATATGGCGTCATTTCTTATGAAAATATTCAGTGCTTTGAAGTCAGCATATACTCCCCTGTTTATGAACTTAATTAAATATATCTCCATCAAAGTTTGATTTGGGGGGCAAATATTGGTTATTACCGAATAAAGTTCTTTTAAACATGATCTGTTTTAATGTTCTGCAGAAAAAAAGTCAATTAATGTACCTTCAAAGTGATTAAAGTAGAAACATGTTCTTCCTGCTACTTTAGCTCTGCACATATGAACCTGAAAATCAGCAAAATAAAATGTTAACTTTTCCAAACTCTCCATCTATCTCACTTCACTGATTAATAACATACGTTAGAACTGTACCGTACCTTTGCAGCATTACTCATTTCCTTCCTAACATGTTCATGGATACACAGCTGTTCTCTTGAACCAATGACACTGACTTTGACCCTAAACAGGATAGATTCTTTTTAATAGATATCAAATTACAAACATCTGATTCAAAAGGGAACCATATCCTTGAGTTGGACAATTACACTAAACTCAGATCTTAAAGATCGACATCCTTATTTTGCATGTGATGTTATCCTCTCAATCTATTTAATAGATAGGAAATTTTATAGTTTATCTTAATTTGGATGTAGTTATAAATACTGATGGCTTTGAAAAGAAGCTAATGGCATCTGGAAAGTCTTAACTCCCAAAATAGCTTGTTTTGAGTCCATTTTATGAAGAACTCTTGCCATTGAATGTATCTGTAAATTAATGAAGTTTCACTTATCTTTATTTAACACAACAGATAAATTTAACTGATTTTTAATTTTTATCTAGGTTTCTGATTTTTAATTTTTATCTAGGCTTCTAAACTTGTTATCAATGAAAGTCTTTGGAAGATTCTTTATACTTTTTTGAGCTATAAAAAAATCTTCCCCTCAAATTAAATACATCTGCGCTTCCTGACACATGCAACAATGAAATATATCACTCTAAGAAATCAGTATTGTTTACATCAATATCTGAGTAAAAATATGTCTCATTGCCTGTGATGCAACTTTGCAGTTCCCATTAATCTTCATATTTCTCTTGAAAATTCTTTTTACAACTAAAATGACATTTTTGAATTTCTTTTAGCAATATTACTCATCTAAGGCTGCATCAGCAACTTGTACAATATCTGACAAATAATCCCAAAAAGGAAAAATCAATGATTCAAAGTCTTGTTTTCTCTTGTACAACTATTCATCTTATCCCTAAGCTTTAAGCATGCCAAATCTACACAATTACCGCAAATCTCTACAGAAGCATGAAAGAAAATAGCTACAGGAAAAATCAATGAAGTAAAAGACTCTACCGACAAAAATTATGTTTTACCGAATTCCTTAAAGAGCAAAAGACAAAAATCACTAACTTGGTTTGAAAGAGAAACTCTGAAGCCGCCAGCAATGCCAATAGTAATTGAATTGATATCTTAATTAGGATATACGGGTTGATATTTTTTTAAAAGAAATTGATTGTAGAAATGGTATATGAACTTAATATATAGAATATACATTGATTGAAGAAAAAGATTGTAGGAGTGGTGTATGCAGGCAGACAATGTAAATGGTCCTATTGATTCTACCTAATAAGCAATAAAATGTTATGATACTTCTATGCACAGGATGACCCTAAATAACCCAAGTAGACAGATCCGCTGGGAATAAAAGCTACGCTATCAACAGCCCTGAGTTCAGACTACTTGGGAATTACTAGGATGCAGAACATCAATTTGCTGTGGTAAACGTTTCTAATATGCTGTCACACTAAGCCATTAAATTGATTTGTCTTCCTTAAACAATGCACATCCTCAACTACGGGGCAATTGTTTTAATTTGAAGATCACAAGCCTTAGATATTAGGGACAATAGACATTTAAAGTTTGCTGGTTTGATGGTAATGAGAAAAAAATTCATTTCTTGTTGTTCTTCAAAAATAATTCTCCATAAAAAGTTTTCACCTTTCAACTTTATTTTTGCTTAATTACGCAAGTCTGTATGCTCGCGAAAATTTTATTCTCACATACATTTGAATTATAAAAGATTATATATACGACAGAAACCATAAATCGCAAAAATTTTTCTCGCCAATAAATACCAAGTATCTAAATCACGAAAATAAAGTGTCACTAAAATATAGTTATAAACAATTCTTAAACCAGAAGTCTCTGTCGAGACTGTAGCTCTACTGGTTTGTACTTATCAAAAACCATTGCACTATTTTATGTATCTTTGTGTAGTCTACTTGTGTGCCAACTTATTTTGAAATCAAACTAAAAGTAAAAACTATAGAAGGAGTAGCGTTTTAAAAGAATTTCACAGAAAATTCTATTTTTAGTAACCATGGTAACACAGTTCATCGAAATCAAAAACCGATGCACTATTCTTTGTATCTTAGTGTAGTCTACTTGTGTGCCAAGTTAAATTGAAATCAGACCAAAACTGTAGAATGAAAAGTGTTTTAAAGGAATTTCACAGAAAATTCTATTTTTAGTAACCATGGCAACACCCTTCATCGAAATCAAAAACCGATGCATTATTCTATGTATCTTAGTGTAGTCTACATGCGTGCCAAATTATATTGTAATCAGACCAAAACTGTAGAAGGAGTAGCATTTTAAAGGAATTTCACAGAAAATTCTATTTTTAGTAACCATGGCAACACCGTTCATCGAAATCAAAAACCGATGCACTATTCTATGTATCTTAGTGTAGTCTACTTGTTTGCCATGTTATATTGAAATCAGACCAAAACTGTAGAAAGAGTAGCATTTTTCAGGAATTTCACAGAAAATTCTATTTTTAGTAACCATGGCAACACCGTTCATCGAAATCAAATACCGATGCACTATTCTATGTATCTTAGTGTACTCTACTTGTGTGCCAAGTTATATTGAAATCAGACCAAAACTGTAGAAGGAGTAGTGTTTTTAAGGAATTTCACAGAAAATTCTATTTTTAGTCACCATGGCAACACCGTTCATAGAAATTGAAAACCGATGCACTATTCTATGTATCTAAGTGTAGTCTACTTGTGTGCCAAGTAATACTGAAATCAGACTAAAATTGTAGGAGGAGTAGCATTTTGAAAAATTGTTTACAGACAGACGGACAGACAGACAGACAGACGGACGGACGCCGGACGCATTACTATCGCATAAGCTCTTTTGGTCTCTGACCAGTAGAGCTAAAAAGTAGGAAATAATAAAGAATATATTAATTAAAACATTTCTTCCTTACGTGTTATAGGCTGATCTTTTTAGCTCCTGCACCGCCTGAGTTAGCTGAGAATGGGTCCGAGAGGCGTATATTATCTTTGGTACAGCTATAAAAAATAATACCTACTTAATCTACGCAGACAAATTTAATCAAAATATTCATGGACGTTTTAAGTTAAACATATTAATTACAAGCATCATTTACTTTCTTGTGATATTAATATTCCTTTTGGTCAAAATCAATAACTTTTAAATAAATGTACTTGTTGCCCATCACATCAACTGATGTCATCAGAAAAACACTCTGACATGCACTCATTTGTTTACTTCACATCAATTTGTTTATCTATCTTTAATTTGTCGTTTTTACGTTGTCAGTGACTCAGCTTTTATTAAATGTTACATGACTCATCCTACTGATCAACTGGAAACAACATCAATATAATGATTAAAATCTACGACTACTGTCAATGCATCTCAATGTCTAGCTACCTGCATGTACTACAGTAAAAACTCATTTAGTACGCACACTGATATTTCAAATTTACGGATATATAGCAAATTTAGCTTGGACCCCTAGCTATGTAAATTTAACAAATTCCTAATATGGATATGATGATTTACAGATATATAAGTTCATAGGTCCAAGTGACTTCAGTATAACCAAGTTTTACTGTAACAGTAACCACACCGAATTCACTCCCTCCCCAGGTCATGCCGGTGCTGGATTCTAGACTCTTCTTCAGAGCCTCGATCTGGTTGTTGGCCAGGCTGCCATGGTCCCCCATCAGGGAGGATATGTTGGCCTGACGATTGAGTTCCACCTGGGCCTTCTTGTCCTGCAGCCACGCCAGGGAGGAACACAGAAGACACAAGGTTTTACCAGTCCCTGTGGGACTTTCCAGGATTCCATTCACATTCTAAAAATACACAAAAAGGGTTTTATTGATAAATTCTTACTATAGAAGTTAAGGATGAACAAATTGTGTACTCTTTAAATTTAAAGTTATTCTAGTCTAGTAGTCTCATTAAAAATGATTTGATAAAGTTCTGAGTCTTAAAGTGTACATATTACATTAGATATGGACCATTAAACTGTCCAGTAACAAATCTATGCTGAGTGTGCTAAAACAAACAAACAATCCTATGCTCCAAACAAATTATTCTGGGATGACCATATCATGCATATTCTATGTATTTAAGCTGGCATTTACTGGTTATTTTATATGATCATGTTGTTAAATTGATAAGCATTAGATATAAACTAATTTTTAACATTTTATGTTCCATGGCACACAAATCCATGGAACCGTTTCTTATTTCAGAGTTCTTTAAAGACATTATGATATCTCAAGGTTATAAAAACCAGAAGTCTCTGTAGAGACTGTAGCTCTACTGGTTTGTACTGATCAAAAACCGATGCACAGAATTATGTATCTTAGTGTAGTCTACTTGTGTGATAAGTTATATTGAAATCAGACCAAAACTGTAGAAGGAGTAGCATTTTAAAGGAATTCCACAGAAAATTCTACTTTTAGTAACCATGGCAACACCATTCATTGAAATCAAAAACCGATGCACTATTATGTGTAAATTAGTGTAGTTTACTTGTGTGCCAAGTGATAATGAAATCAGACCAAAACTGTAGAAGGAGTAGCGTTTTAAAGGAATTTCTCAGAAAATTCTATTTTTAGTAACCATTGCAACACCGCTCATCGAAATCAAAAACCGATGCACTATTCTACGTATCTTAGTGTAGTCTACTTGTGTGCCAAGTGATATTGAAATGAGACTAAAACTGTAGAAGGAGTAGCGTTTTAAAGAATTTCTCAGAAAATTCAATTTTTAGTAACCATGGCAACATCGTTCGTCGAAATCAAAAACCTATGCATTATTTTATGTATCTTAGTGTAGTCTACTTGTGTGCCAAGTAATATTGAAATCAGACCAAAACTTTAGAAGGAGTAGCGTTTTAAAGGAATTCCTCAGAAAATTCTATTTTTAGTAACCATTGCAACACCGCTCATCGAAATCAAAAACTGATGCACTATTTTATGCATCTTAGTGTAGACTACTTGTGTGCCAAGTGATATTGAAATGAGACTAAAACTGTAGAAGGAGTTGTGTTTTAAAGGAATTTCACAGAAAATTCTATTTTTAGTAACCATGGCAACACCGTTCATCAAATCAAAAACCGATGCACTATTTTATGTATCTTAGTGTAGTCTACTTGTGTGCCAAGTTATATTGAAATCAGACCAAAACTGTAGAAGGAGTAGCGTTTTAAAGGAATTTCTCAGAAAATTCTATTTTTAGTAACCATGGCATCACCGTTCATCGAAATCAAAAACCGATGCACTATTTTATGTATCTTAGTGTAGTCTACTTGTGTGCCAAGTTATATTAAAATCAGACCAAAACTGTAGAAGAGTAGCGTTTTAAAGGAATTACTCAGAAAATTCTATATTTAGTAACCATGGCAACACCGTTCATCGAAATCAAAAACCTATGCTTTATTTTATGTATCTTAGTGTAGTCTACTTGTGTGCCAAGTTATATTGAAATCAGACTAAAATTGTAGGAGGAGTTGGGTTTTGAAAAATTGTTTACAGACAGACGGACAGACAGACAGACAGACAGACGGACGGACGCCGGACGCATTACTATCGCATAAGCTCTTCTGGTCTCTGACCAGTAGAGCTAAAAAATGATGGGGCAGGCAGAAATATTAAACAATACAAAAATATTTTAAACGATTTATAAAGTGCTTATATTAGTGGACGAATAGGGCATAATACAATGACTATACATTTGATTTGCAGCTCAGAATAATCACCAACTGTTACTGTAGCAATGTTCTAAATTTCGCATGTCCAAAAGAGATGGCATGTGTTCCATCAAAATATGCATCAAAACTTAATGAAAATGAATTTTTTCTATATATACAAAAATTTGTATCCATAGAGTTTAGTTTGTAACGGTAGAAAAGAAAATGCAGCGGACTTCCCATAGCTAAGATTCTAAAGAATTCAATGATGACTTCAGTGTAAATTATGATACATTATAACGATAATATAGGACTTACTTTCTGAAGACATTCAATCACTTTTTCCATGTACGTCACTTGGCAAGAATATGGATCAAACGGAAAGTTGACATGGACACCTTTTACATCAATTAAAGGCATTTTTAAGCCTGCTTGCCAACAGTCAACAATTAGTTGCTGTTCCTGGGACTACCTGTTATACATGTATCCTTACCTTTAAAAGAAAAAAAAATTTCTACAAGTAACTTTAGACAACATACTGTAACATTTACAGAGATACAATGGAGAGCAAAGATTCTGAAGCAGACAAGACGTTTATTAAAAACATGAACTCTTTCAGTGGAAAGCTAGGGGATTTTAAATACATTTTTTCTTCTAGTTTCCATGCAGTAACTCTTGAAAGACCGAGCAGTATTTGGAAGATTGAACCAAAGATGGTTGAGTTTATTGGCGAATTATCGCAGAAGAGAACAAGTATGCCTATCCTGAAAGTCTGAAAAACTATCTGAGTAAATTAGGCCTGTCTGAGGACATTCGAACGGTGATCTAATTCATGCACAAGAATTCGACAGTGATAGACTGATACACATACTCTGAAAGGGGCATATCGTAAACAATTCATTTCTAGTTTTGACAAATAGGCTTTAACAAACCTAATCATTTACATACACAAAAGAAACATCACCAAATGTTGTCAATATTCAGCTGAAAGTTGGCGGGACCTGTTACACAAGAAGGGGGATTCCAATGTCCCAACCAATCAATGTTGAAATCGGAAAAGAATCAACCAATCATTTTTAATTTAAACGTCATTTCCTTTGCGTGAGAAGCGCGCGATCCGGTTGTAAACTGAGAGAAATAGAAGAAAAGAGTTTGAAAAAGGTGTGTTTATGTTCAGTTAGTGAATTGTTTTATTATTGAGAATTATTTCGCAAATATTAAGCTTCTGTTCCAGCTCACATGTGAAGTACCTCTAGCTAATATTTAAGAATGTTGGTGTATAGTTAACAAATGACAGGGGTAAAAATCTACCTCATAACATTGAAAGGTAGGCTATCAAAGGTATGGTTAAGTTTTGCTCATCTCTCTTCATTGGCAAACTTGTAAGGATCCGTAAATATATTTGTTGACATACATATTCTGTATTCAGTTTGTGATCTAATGAACATAATCAGGTAAGGATTTTAAATGTGCTCTGATTCCGAATTTTTTAAGCCACATCTTCATGTTTTACTTTTAAAATATTGTCAATCAAATTGTTTGCACATGATATTGTATTCTCTGTTGCTTGCAAGTAGAGAAAAATCCAGCACTACAAATGGAGGCCGTACACTGTAAGTGTGCACGAGTTTTCCCTAATTTATTTAGTACTGACATTTGCTTTCTTTGGCTTATAGCTGCAGAACTTATGATTTTATATATTTTTTCTTTGACCATGATGGTACAGATCCCATCAGGCGAGTAATTTGCAATTTACAGCACAAAATTTTCTGCATACTGACAGGGAGAATTTTTCCACTTGCCAATCGACTACTTTTCACTCCCCATTGTTTCTAACCAACCTCTGTATTTTATCCATCTTCCAACCTGACCTTTATGGCCATCTCTGCAGACCAATAATTTCAACTGATTTGAATTTTATGCCATATCCAATAAAAAAATTCAAAACAAGTAAGTTTTATTGGTTTGTAGAGACCATGCATATTCATAACAGATTGGGCAATGGATAAAATTATAGGTTGGTAAAAAAAATTAAATATGTCCATTAAGTATTTTTCATATGCATATATTATAATTCGTAAAATTCAAATACAGGATTTCCCAAAGACCCAGGGACCGGTGAACTTCCCCACTTATGTAAATGATGTTCTGATATTCCTCCTAAATTTTCCATTAGGGGAGGAATCCCAGATCCCCTTCTTTTTTAATTCCTAGGGATCTGAACATAGCCAGAGCTGGGTATGTCGATCATGAAATTACATCCTTCGACCATTATTGCAAACTGATGTTATGACGTTTTTTTTTTTGATGAATTTTTGTTATCCATTTTTTCAAAATGACGATAATTTTCCCAATTTGAACAGCCCTGGCCCCAGTCCCAAAAAGTGGTGTGAGAGCCCAGTGGCCAATGCACAAACACCCCCCTTTTTTTGGCTTGTCAGGTTCTTTTGAAGTAATAAAAAAACTTTCTTTTTTTTACACCTCCCCCCCCCCCCCCCCCCCTCCACACTTTCAATTTGTTTCCAACGCCAGTATGGTAAATACATTATCTGTTTATGATATGTATCTGCAATTTTGTGTGCTGCATTTTCTTTAGAGTAAGTTATCCAAACAGTCCTAGGAATTTGTGCCAAATCCCATATTATTGTCAGTAAGTGTCAAAGCAAACAAGATATAAAGACCTGATAAAAATCTGTAAGATTTTTATGCAGGATGGTAATGATCAAAAATCATACAGCACCAAGAGAGTAAAGGAATCTAGTCATGCTCGAGTGAGCGATTACTCATTGTCCTCTGTGAGTACAGGTAGAATGACTCACTCCTACATATTGATTCCCTCTTTATTTATCCTCAGAATTCTATTGATTTTAGAAACTCAGAGGAAATGGCAGGGAGGGAATTGTTTAATTCAATCTCTCCATTATCTTGACACTGTCATACAACGTAGTACATGTATCACGTTTCTCAGGTTGCAGATATGAAAGTTGAAGTATAGGTACAAGTTTAACTGTATAACAGATTTGTCTTTGAATTAAATCTGAGGGGTATACCAAAATGTGTATGTAGCATTGACCAGTATTTGAGCATTATACACATCAAAATGATTATCATATATTACTAATTGATATTCCAAATACTGTAAATAACTTCTTATCTGTGATAATAACCTCATTTTTGAAAAATAATGTAAAACTGTCTGATCACCAAAGCTTTATTCTTAAACATTACTAAAATTTTAAAAAGCAATTATTAATATTTTTTTTAATACTTATAAATACTTGAAAACCATCTCTCAGAAATAAAGTTTTACTAGAATATAGTGATCTAATGATAACAGTAAGCTACAAATTACTTTTATCTGTCAACTGCTTTGCAATCCTCTTTCAGTTAAAGGTCATCTTGCTTATATTGAAATGGAATATATTTTGTTCAAGTCATACTTCATCAGTTTCATTAGGTTTCAATAAATTGTTTTTGCCAAATATGTAGTAAGATGCAATGAAATGGTAAATTTCCATAATAAAATGGATCTCTGTGGAAAATCTGATCAAGACATCAATAACAATTCTCCCAATCCAGAACAAAATAGAACTATTGCATTTTTAGACGAAAAAAAAACTTCTAAGGAGATATTGGAAGTTTTGTGCAGCAGCAGGCGGTTGGGTAATGTATTCAGTATGACTAGGGTATGAGTCATCTAAGTCTGCAGTCCTGCACGGCAATCGGAAGCTCCGCATCGGAGAGAAGGAAAAAGTGTGTTTGTAGGCTAGGCTGTGCTGCAAGTCTGGATAGGATAGAGGATTGTTATATTCACACTGGGGATAGGTGTGTCTGTTACTTTCTCAGTATTAAAGCATGATCAGGTATGGAGATACTGTGAGGCTAACTTTCAAGACTTAGGTTTTGTAATTTTTGGATATATGATTTAATTCCAAGAATGGTTGAAGGAGTGTTCAAAATTAGAAAAACCTTAGCGGTAATATTTTTCAACTGAAATAGTATTCTTAAAATATACCTGTGAATTTCAGTTTGAAATTGTTAAAAAGTTGTTACCATATGATATATACAGTTTCTTAACATATGTGTGATTTTGGGATGTACATTTCTAAACATTTGTTGAGATGAGCTCTGTAATCTCTGATTACCTAATATGTTTATGCCCTGGCATGAATATTTGGCTGGGGCTTATAACATTTGTCTTGTCTGTCTTCCTTCCATCCTTCCATCTGTTCTTCCATAACATTTTGAAATTCGCTCATTTTCAAAAATAATTCAAGATATTTATATCAAACTTCTTACGGCTATACATATTGATGAGAACTTTTCAACTGCTTCAACATTTTTTTACCTTGACCTTTCCTTTGACCTTACCTTTCTTCAATTAGTGTTTAGAAACTTTTTAAAAATATTTCTATCAAACCATACATGCTGAAATATTACTAATAAAATGAAAACATTTCAACTAATTAAATTGTTTTTGAACTTGACCTTTCTTTTGACCATGACCTCTCTTCTTAAATTAGTGTTTAGCTAAGTTTCAAAGTAAACTATTCAAGAACTCACATGCTGTAAATACATGTATTGATGAGAGCTATTCACCTACATCATTATTTACCTTGATCTTTCCTTTGACTTTTTATCATCTTAATTGACTATATTATTATACCTCTACTGTAATTACTCTATATAAAATTAAATACCATAAAACTGTCTATTTCCCCGGAGAAGAGACTATTGCCCTCATCTGAAGACTACTCCCTGGAAAACCAGAGCTACTCCCTTGGACTACTCCCTCATGAATATTTATTAGTATTTTTAACCAATCAAAGTGTTCAGTGGGCGGAGCGTTCATGAAATCTCGAGTCTGTGACGTCATGTTATTAGCAATGTAACTAAGACGTCAAAACATTTCGACATGCAATGTCAAAATCATACTTGAATTCTAGCAAAATGAAAACAATGATTATTATTCGAAATTTCAGTGAAAATACTTTTCAAAAAATAATCTAATTGTTTTAGGACACGATACATTACTTATACAATGTGTTAAACCACATACATTTGTAATTATGCCTGTACAGAGTTTTTTTTAATGTCTGAATATCTGGTTAAAAAAAAAAAAATAATAAATCGCCCATGATTGTTTAGGTATAATAAAACAGTTTTTACAGGAAACTATTTCCTCCCTCGGGGAACCATAAATTTGCTATTTCCCTCGTACCCATTCCATCACTGTATACTATTTACAGAAACTAAAACTCTACTTTTAAGAAACTTTAGGAAATACGACTGTTACCCTAATTTGTCAATTAACAGAGGATGTTAATTTGTGGATGTGAGAAACTCATGAATTTTATGAAACTTAGCCATTACAAAATCTAATGATGTCACAGAAAAAATCTAACTTTTAATGCTGCATAACTTATAATGAAACAAAGTGGCCAAGTTTGTCAAAACCCTTTCAGGCTCATGTACATGTGAGAATTCCACTGTCACATGGGAATATCCAGTACGATGTGCAAGAATCAATTTAATTAGAGACAAATTATATATATATCCATTCAAAGATTAATTAATGAATCAAGTATAGGGAGGCTGTATCAAAAAAAAATATAAAATACATAAAATGTGTAAAATAAAGTTAAGATATTCATTTAAAGGAACCATTTGAGACACACCATACATAGTTCTGTGTAAATTTTAACCTAAAGCCAAAAGAAATACTCTTGTTTCCTGTCACCTGACCAAAAAAACTAGGGTAGGTAGGGAAAAATTGTATTTTGAAAAAAAAAAAATGTTTTAAAAAGTGAATGAATGCAGAACACATGACATGTAATAACAAGAAAACAGTATACTTGCAGTTTACAAAGCAAGTTTGTTAATAATTTATTAGATTTACTAAGTAAAAGTATTCTGTACACTTGTACATATGAGTGATGTATTTTATAGATTCTTTCAGTTTGAAATGAGAACAAAGTAGAAATTTCTGAGACAACACACTTGTTGATCTCAAAAATGCCTTATTACTGGTAATAGTCAATGTTAATCATATATCATATACTGTTTTAAAAGGTCACCCCAAGGTTTGTATTCAAACGCATCTAAGACTCATCTACGAAAACATTAAATATTTTTGGTTGACTTTAATATTTTTTGAAAAGAGGTAACCAAAAAAAAATGAAAACGAAAAAAAAAAATATTAAAAAAACCTAGGGTTAGAGGGTAAAATGGAGGGTAGGTTGGGTGACAGGAAACAATTTTTTTTTTTTGGCCTTAATAGTGAAATATGTGGTCATAATGAAGACTCAGTCTTGAAAGCAGAGTGATATAGTTAGTGATATTGCCCAGGTGCCTTTGTTTCCACCTGAAACAGTAATAGAGACAGCTTTGGATTTTATTCCAACCATCAATCTTAATACTTTGTACATGTAACATTTTATTTATGAAGTGCGTATTCTTGTAAATGATGGTTAAATTTATTTTTCTTTTTTATGTGTTTACAGGTGCAAAATTAACCAGTGCCTTTAGAATTAGAATTCATTCACAATGTCAACAGGTAAGATACTAAATCATACATTAATAATTATTGTTTTAATGGATACCAAGATGCTACTAACAATGTTTTACAAAAGTTTTATGGCATCTTGTTTTGTGAAGATGAATCGTACTGTTTTCAATGAAGGATACTAAAACGTATTACATTGTTAATTTTATATCATTATGGCAAATTGGGCTTTTCAGATTACATATAACATAATGTTCCTTTAACAAACATGCCAAAAGAGGAGGTTTGTATATTGGCCAGGATGCATTTTACAGAATATTATACATGTGTACAACACACCTATAAGCCATTGCAAGCATCCATTTTTAGCTAACCTTGATGAACCAGGAGATGATAATGGACCCAATCAGTACTCAATATTAACTTCTACACTTGTCAACCAACACAGTATTTGCACACACAAAAAAAATTAATAGAGTTGCATATCAAGATGCAAAAAGATAATACATGTGATACACACTTGTCAGTTATTTGTCCATCTGTCTTAAGACAATTGAACTTTGAAAATAGCCTTTGGAATTATTGATTATTCATGGAAAAATCATGTTTGTCCATCTGGATCCATAACTTGAATATCAAAATTATTGAGACAAAATAATGTTGGAAAAATGGGTTAATTCTTCCAAAAACAATCCCTAACCCGGATCATCAAGATAAACAAATACATTGTAAATGCCTATTTGCTCCATTCATAAATACGGCCAAGACTGGCCACTGTTTTAAATGCAGGTATACGCATGTAGGTCTACAATCAAAAAATAACTGCAACTAGTTAAATTATCATTAAACTTCAATATACTGTAAATTCAAATTGTTGAAATCATGAACAAGTTTAATTTGATGTTCAGAATACAGGTTTCACTTATCCACATGTTTATTTGTTAGGAAGAAAATGGTGATTCAGGTGAGCTTTGTGGCACATGGGCCTCATAATATCAAATGCTTAATACAATTCTAATACATATACTAGTCGACATTGATTAAGTTTGAAAAGAAGAAACTATTACAATGCATAAAACATGCAGTTTAACAACATCATATCTTTACTAAATTAATTAACCAAATGGAGCATGTATGATCAGTCTATTTCATAAATAGAGGATATTCAATGTTTTGTAGTTGAATATGGAATTTATTTCACGAGTGGGACAGAATTTTTGATATTTTCACGAGTGCGAAGCATGAGTGAAAATATCCAAAAATCCTGTCTCACGAGTGAAATAAATTCCATATTCAACTACAAAACATTGAATTTTCTGTTTATTACATTTTTTTAAAAAAATTCTTTGATTTTTCCTTTGCCTCTGTCTTTTATATAATAGTGTTGCATTATGCATGTACTATGCCTAAATAGTAGGCAGGGTTTGACACATGGTGCACGAGCCGGAGGCGAGTGCACTATGTGTCAAACCCTGCCTACTATTTAGGCATAGTACATGCATAATGCAACACTATTGTTATTATTATGCTGACTGTTGTTATTATTTATGCGGCAATCCATTTGATTTTTTTCCAGAAAATAATGGTTGTAACACAGCCCACTTGCAAAAACTCATTCAAAATCTTCATGCTAAAATTAGTTATACCCGCACTTTCGAAAGAAAGTTCGGGTATATTGTTGTTACTCATGTCCGTCCGTCCGTCCGTCCGTCCGTCCGTCCGTCCGTCTGTCACACTTTTCTTCCCTGAACTCCTCCTACATTTTTTACACTAGCTTAATCATCCTTTGGGAGATGGTTGGGGGTGTCATGTAGATGTGCAGTAAGGTTTCGGAATTTTGATTTTGCCCCGGGGGATCAAATGGGGGTCGAAAAATGACGTTTTTTTATACAAAAAGCCCCTTCTTCCCTGAACTCCTCCTACATTTTTCACAGTAGCTTAATCATCCTTTGGGAGATGGTTGGGGGTGTCATGTAGATGTGCAGTAAGGTTTCGGAATTTTGATTTTGCCCCGGGGGATCAAATGGGGGTCGAAAAATGACGTTTTTTATACAAAAAGCCCCTTCTTCCCTGAACTCCTCCTACATTTTTCACAGTAGCTTAATCATCCTTTGGGAGATGGTTGGGGGTGTCATGTAGATGTGCAGTAAGGTTTCGGAATTTTGATTTTGCCCCGGGGGATCAAATGGGGGTCGAAAAATGACGTTTTTTATACAAAAAGCCCCTTCTTCCTTGAACTCCTTCTACAATTTACTCAGCAGCCTAATCATCTTTTGAGAGATGGCTGGTGGTGTCATGTAGATGTGCAGTAAGGTTTCAGAATTTCGATTTTGCCCCGGGGGTTCAAATGGGGTCGAAAAATGACGTTTTTTATATAAAAAGCCCCTTCTTCCCTGAACTCCTCCTACATTTTTCACAGTAGCTTAATCATCCTTTGGGAGATGGTTTGGGGTGTCATGTAGATGTGCAGTAAGGTTTCGGAATTTTGATTTTGCCCAGGGGGGTCAAATGGGGGTCGAAAAATGACGTTTTTCATACAAAGAGCCCTGTTTTCCCTGAACTCCTCTTACATTTTACTCAGCAGCTTAATCATCTTTTGGGAGATGGTTGGTGGTGTCAGGTAGATGTGCAGTAAGGTTTCGGAATTTTGATGTTGCCCCGGGGGGTCAAATGGGGGTTGAAAAATAATGTTTTTCAAACAAAGAGCCCTGTTTTCCCTGAACTCCTCTTACATTTTACTCAGCAGCTTAATCATCTTTTGGGAGATGGTTGGTGGGGTCATGTAGATATGCAGTAAGGTTTTGGAATTTAGATTTTGCCCCGGGGGGTCAAATGTGGGTCGGAAAATGATGCTTTTTGTGCAAAAAGCCCTGTCTTACGTGAAGTCTTCCTTAATGTTATTCAGAAGCCTAATAATCTTTTAGGAGGGTTAAATATTTTGAAAATTATGTAAAACATCAACGTCAAGGGGTAACAAGATGTGTTTGTGAAATACTATGCGCCCGGCATCAACAAAGTACAAAAAGCTATATTTTTTGCATATAGGTCACAGTCAAGGTCATTGACCTTGGTGTTGTTTGTAAGAACTTAATTAGTGGGGTATGCATACTAAATATGAAGTTGTTATCTCCTATGGTTCAAAAGTTATGGCAAAAAGTAGAAAAAGCTATTTTTAGCATATAGGTCACCGTTAAGGTCACAAGGTCATTGACCTTCATGTCATTTGAAGGAACTTTATCAGTGCAGTATTCGAACCAAATATGAAGTCTCTATCTCCTATGGTTCAAAGGTTATGGCAAAAAGTGGAAAAAGCTATTTTTAGTATAAAGGTCACAGTCAAGGTCACATGATCATTGAGATGTGTTTAGGGTTGAATTATCTAGAATTGTTAAAGTTTCCAAGAACAGCTTATCTCTTTACATCCGGTGTTATTAAGCTATTTGCGCCAATTTTCAAACCACCAAGCAGGTCAGAAACAAAGGAACTGGTGAAGGGACATTCAAATTGTTATAGTATCATTCTATATGATCCCTGACTGGAAAAAGCAGCAATTAACATTATTAAAAGATGGATCTGGATACAGAAGAGGTATTTAATGCATGTCATGAAGTAATTAACCTTCTGTGAATGTGGATGCATATGCTTTTTACTAGCTTTGGATTTTTATTCATTTTCAGATTGACCTATAATTCCTATCCTAGTTTAGATCAGTTATGCATTGGATTATGGGAAGTATACTTGAAAATAAGACAATAAAGATGTCTTTCAAATTAGTTGCAATGAGGTCAGAAACAAGGAAAAATTGCAGCTTTTTCCATGCCAGAGGAAGCAGGGAAATATTTAAATGTCGATCATCAGCTTGAAGAACATTTTTTGGTGAAAAATACTATGAAGATGTACACAACATGAAGGAGAATATGTGATAAGTACATGGACATTGACTTGGAATTGCATCTCGTAAACAAAAGGAAACATGTTGGATGTTGCACTTGCATTGGCTAAACTTGTGAATCCTGGAATTTAAATCCCCTGAAACAAGACTTGTTGAATATTTCAAAATGTGATTGTTTTAGGTGTTTTCAATTAAGACTTGTGGATTTGTAAAGGAAAATTCAAATCTACAGTGTTTTGGTGATGGATTTGTTCCCAGTGATTTGTTAGTAGTTTGTTAAAGTGGTTTGATAGTAGTTTGTTAGAGTGGTTTGATAGTAGTTTGTTAGAATGGTTTGATAGTAGTTTGTTAGAGTGGTTTGATAGTAGTTTGTTAGAGTGGTTTGATAGTAGTTTTTTAAGAGTGGTTTGATAATAGTTTGTTAGAGTATAGTTTGTTAGCTCATTTGCATGTGATTTGCTATACTATTAAACTACTTTCAAACCATAGTGGTTTGTTAGTAATTTGTTATAGTAGTTTGTTTGCCCTTTTTTTCCGTATGGGGATCTCTATCTCTTACGGTTCAAAAGTATTGGCCAAGGTTAAACTTGACAACAGACAAACAGACAAACAGATAAACAGACAAACAGACAGGACAAAAACAATATGCGCCCCTAAAAAATTGGGGCGCATAAAAAAAACATTGCATGCTGGGAAACACCTTGAATTCTTATGAGTAATTTATGTACATGTCAAATGTGAGAGTCATATCTCATCTCAATCAAAAGTTATAAGCAAATGCAACATTTTTGAAAAGTAGGTTAGGCTTGATCGCTTCAAGGTCAAGGTCACAGTGTAAAAATATTTGGAAAGGTCTTTATCACAGGTAATAATAAACATGCATTATGATATGAATGCCCTAACTTTTCTCTTTCAAAATGATGAATTTATAACAACTTAATTTTTTTGCAAGTTGGTCAAACTTCTAGGTCACATGTAAAAAAAAAACATGCCATTCTCACAGGTAAATATACTAATAATAATTTTAATATGAATGTCTCTTCTCATTCTGTAGATATGACCGTGATAACCAAGATTAAATTTTTTGAGACAGATGGACTGAGTCTGACATACAAATGTACATATTTCTATATGAATTGGGTAAAATTCGCCCAGTGGTTCTAGAGAAGTTAAAAATGTAAAAAGTTTTCAGACAAACAGATGGACAACACGTCACGACAGACATTATATGCTAAGGAAACAAAAAAAGCTCAAATGAGTGTTTTGAAAGGGTTACAATATGGTTGGAGTATTTGAAAAGCTGTTTTTTTTTCCTGCAGAGATATGCATGACCAACATATTTATGTTTTATATTTTCTTTGCAGTATTTGTTTGTTTGTTGTGAATACATCTTCCCTCATATGGAGACACCACCAAATAATAATGTAGATAAGATGTGTTTGTGAAACACTGATGTCCCAGTATGGAAGCCTATGGCGAAGGTTGAAGTTTCTCAAATATATGTCAAACTCAAAGGTCAAGGGTTCAAATTGTTAGTGTCAGAAGAAAGTCTATGTTAAATAAAGAAATCTCTAGTAATTCCTTTTCAAAAGTTAATTGCCAAGGTTAATTTTTTTTTAAGTGGTTCAAACTCTAGGGTCAAGGTCAAACATATTTCCTGTTGACAGTTCAAAATGAATACAATATGTCATGATAAGTATGAAAGCCCTAGCACCTACTGATCAAAAATTAGGCAGAGTTTAAAGTTTGGTATTTTTCTTGTAAAAATGTGTATCCCATGTCAAGCGATCAGAGGTAAAAATTAATGGTACCCAAATAAAAGGTCTTATTAAATTGTCACAAGAAATAAACCTATAAAATGTGGAAGCTATATGTATAGCCCATCCCACTTAAAACTTATGGGCAAGCTAGCTAGGATTTAATTTTTGCAGACATATAGACAGACATACTATAAACACAAGAAACAAAATATGTACATATGTATAATAATTAGTCAAATGGAAAAAAAAATATACTATTAAACTGGAATCACAAAATAGATTGTTATTTCAGGGACAGGAAGTGGGTAGGAAGATTGGAATCCCCCCCCCCCCCATCTTGCATTTGCTTTGTTATTTAAACAAGACTATATACTGTAGCAAGTAAAAAATGACTCTTGACATCCTCTCCCTATAAACTTAGAAAACATTGACCTCCCTATCATTGTTTTTTTATTTGTTTATTTGTTTTCATTTTTTTTCTCCTGCTTGTCACGAAATTCTGGGCTGGAATTTTTTGACTTAGATGTGAACCCCCCTCCCTACTCCCTAAAAAAATTCTGGATCCGCACCAGTATTGGCAGTAACTGAATGTCACATCGACAATGGGAGATAACTTCACAATATGAAATTCGTCTAGTGTGGCATGGGATGATCTTTGACCCTTTTTAAACTTTAACCTAATCATTGACTTCTACTTACCGACTCCCTGTGTCTCGTAAACTTCATGAAATATAAATCCAATTATAACACAAAATGAATTAATCCAATGCACACCAGACTGCAACCATGTGCCATTTTGGCGAACTTTCGTCGATTCCGTCACCTTATCAGATGAAGTGGGAATCGGCCGAGGTGTGCCAAATGGTGTTTAATCTATAAATATCATAATGGGTGACGCAACGTGATGTAATGTAGAAATTTACATGTTCACATGTATAGTACAAGAACAAATTTTAAATTAATTCATTACAAACGATATTAAATTTTAACAAACCTTTTCCATCTAGCCTATTCCAAAAAGTATGTGTTGTGTGATTGTGGCGTCGGGGGGGGGGGGGGGGGGGGGGTAGTAAATTTAAAAAGTCCTATTATTAGCAAAACATATATCAAAATTTAAGACGCGGATCCAGAATTTTTTTCCGGTGGGGGGGGGGGGGGGGGGGTCCACCTCAGTCAAAAAAAATCCTATCCCAGAAATTGACAATCAAAAAAAAACCTAAAGTAAATCTCACCCAAACGTCAAAAACCTATATCGTGGAGGTGGGTAAGGGGTAGTGGTGACTTCTATTGCCGCAAATGTTTAACTTTTCATACCTATTTTACACATATTCGTGTTTACCAGGGGGGGGGGGTCTGCATTTTCAAAGGGGGTCCATTATAACTTTTTCCTTGTTTTAGTGTATACATTTTTTATCCTTGTAAATTCCAAGGGGGGGGGGGGGGGGGCTGACCCCCCCTCCCCCCCTGACAGATCCGTGCATGAATTTACATCATTAATAAAATTCAGACTTGTATATAATGAATTAAGCATGTATAAAATAAATATAAGAGGTTCTGAGTTATAGGTCACAGGGTCTGAGAATTTCATAATCAATTTGATTAATACATGTAAATTATAGAATTATTTTAATTATTTCCTTTGAAAGCCGCCCAATATGTAGGAGCGTGTATTTAGAGGCAAACACCTTAGTGCGGGTATTACTGTCTCATGACAGCATCTAGTTGCTTAGTTATTTTGGTTACTAGTATTTTCTCTAAATAAGTCAGGATTTTCTGTCCCAAAGATACTCATCTTCATTTTCTGTTTTGTTAGTAAGACTGATTTGTTTACAGACGTGGATTCTCATTGATAATTTTCTTTTACATCCTTCAATCAAGCCCTATATAAAAAAGCGTTTTAATGACCCCATGATATCAATTCAACTAACGATCTGTATGTAATTAGTTTGAAACTTTGTTGTACACATTTATCTAAGATTCCTTAGAATAAATATAACTGTTTTCAAATAACATTTGTCTATTTTCTCCTTCTTCTGTCAATTGTATCAATTAAGTTTATATATTTAATAAAATTCATCCTAACAGTGATCGTCTCTGTGGCGTAATCGATAAAGCATCGGACTGGCAACCTCATGGTCGTGAGTTCGATTCCCGATGTGTACATTGAAGAATTTTATTCAGAAAAGAAGGCCGTGCACTATTTCGGCATAGTATGCTAACGCTATATAATTCCTTAGACCACTATGCGAGAATAGTAGGGTATGGGTTATATAGAGACAAACTGACAGGAAGCATAATAATTTGTAATACAGTCATAGGCTCGTGACGTCATAGTTGAGCGGTTGAGACGTCATAGCTAAGTGAGGTGAAAACACTGTAAACATGGATTTAGCAACACATTTTTGGTAATTTTGACAGTTTTATTCGCTGTCAGAATTGTTTATTTATTTCCATCTATCTTATATTAGGTCAAGGAAGATTTTTTTACAGCAATCTTCGTTATGGGAATGGAAATCGAGAGTTTTCCCGCACTCCTGATATTCGTCACACTGTGACAGGATATCATTTTGATATCCTTTCACACTGTGACAGGATATCATTTTTATTCAATGAATAAATTATAGTATTTCTTGGGTAAAAATGTAATAACTCCTGATAAACTACATTATTTACTCTAAATAACTGTTCAAAAATAAAATCTTTTGATTTTTTTACATCAAAAACTGGAATCAGACAGTGTATCAGTAGTACTAATACAATCAATGTTCACTTTCTGAAGTTTTAGCTGCAGGCAGACCTGTGCAGTATGTCTAGACCTTTTGTCTGGTATTGATTTCTGCCATTATTCTGTTGGAGAAAATATAACATGCTGCATTGTTTGAAGATAAGATTTTCTATTGGAACTATACAGATCATGCAGAATAATAATATATTTCTAGTAATTAGGTTCACAGAGCTTTATCAATTAATTGAGTTTAACATGTAAATGATTTTGTTTGGAAGAAGATTAAAAAACAAAAGTATTTTGCATAGGAAAGAAAAAAAATTAGATTGCTGTTTCCAATGACCATGAAATCTTGTTCCTTTTATGGAGAAAAAAAAAAGAGCGCAGTAATGTAACTTGTTGCTGATGTGAAGAGTTGAGTCTTGGAGGCCCCAGCTCTGAATTATTGATGAAGAGTTTAACGATTATGGCTGTATAGTTTTAAGTCTCGATTAGGAAGCAATCCACGAGGTACATTACCCATTAATGGCTTATTCTACAAGCAACAAGGAAAGATAGTCAAATTAATGATCGGGAGTAATTTTCTCATTTAGGTAATAGGTTGGAAACTTTTTTTTATTGAAAAGTCATGAAAAATTGACATTTAAACTTAGATGTACTGTGATTTTATCTTTTAAAAAAACAAAACATGAAAAAATTTAATAGTTCAATTAGTGATTGATTGCTAAATTGGTCTATGAAGCCTAAAAAAAAACCGTCTCCAAATAATTTGAAATAATTTAAAATACAGTTAAGTCAAACATTTCCTTTAAAATTGAACCAGAATTGGCCTTTTCAAAACATTGTGTACACATTGTCAACAAAATACATCAGCGGATTGAGTTGAATAGAGTCTATGATTGAATAATGATTGATTTCTTTCCTCCCTGCTGCCGGATTAATCAGCCTGTAACTGGTTAAGCATTTTCTTGTGCTTGAGGGGCACAGCCAATAATAAAAAGGCTATTCATCAGATTCATCCCAACCAGAAGTCATTTGATGCCGTGGTTGTCTGGAAAGGCAAAGGTGACAACGTTGTCAGTGGATGTTGTGTGTCAGTGTTGTATTCAATATGTTCATCACAATGCTTCAGCTTTTTATAGCTCTTGATTTATGCAGAACCAATGTATCTTTATAGTTATGATTTGCACCATTGTCATTTTATTTAGCCAGCAGTGTACATGTGGATGCAGTCAACCTTTCATTTCATTTGACATATGATATTTAATTGCTTTCTGTTTGCCTTGATTGAAGATGTTACTTTTAACCAAAACCATTCCCTATTGAATACCAATTAAAATCATTATTCATGATAAGATTTAAAATATTTTCATCCTGCATTATTTTTCATTGTCATTTTCCTTACAATATATATTCTGCTTTATAATAAGTTGCATTATTTAGATACCTATTTTCAATGATCTATGCATTTATGATACATGATCTATGCTCAATTTTTTTACTAAGTGTTTAGCCCTCATCATTTCAAATAAAGTTTTATAAAAGCAGTAAATTTAACAATAAATTATTATTTTACACAGAGACAGATCAAAAAAGCAAGCATATAAACAAAAGACGAAAATTTAGTTCATAAAGTTTTTGCATCTTTACAAACATATTTTGTCAAAGTATTGTTGAGAGTTTTACAATGATAGTTGTTCTTGTGTTTACCATTACATAGAATATATTTTGTTTTTATAGCAGGATTACAGAAGAGTACAGGTGGCGTGGCCTATGACTATATCCTGAAGCCAGCAGCTGATGCCGCCCCCAAAATCTCCTCCCCTCCCAAGGAGAAACCCCTTACACATGATGAAATCTTTGAAAAGCTTCAAAAGGCAGAGGCCAGAAGACAGGTATAAATGTTTAGGTGAATAATATTAATGAGAAAGAACCAATGGCATCGTTACTTTAAAATTTTTAATTGAGCTTGTACATGTATTACACCTCCTTCCCCTCCCCCTGTACTTGAGACAGCTGTTTTAATTCTTAAATACAAATGAAAGCAAATTTGTTCATCATTTTTAATTTGGTTTAGAGTGTAAATCAAGTTTTATTTACAATGAACATGGCATTTTTACATGTTAAAAAACCCTGATGTCTCATGCATTTTCTATGCTGAAATAGTTGTAAGATATTGCTGCTTCATGCATAGGAATATTTTTAGAGTACACTTCTAGTTTGGTGCAGTAAATGTATGATGTACAATATTATATTTAGGTTCAATGTGTTCAAAAGTTCATCTCAATGGCCATTTAGACTGTGACTGTAAAATCTGAATAATTGTCTATCCAGTATTAGCAGACATTGTTTTAAATATCCATTGGGCTCATCATGACTAAATGTCTATTGAAAATGACATACAGGAGTAATTTTCCTGCTAGTCTATTCATAATTGTGACATCATAAATTGATCTCTAATTTTCTTTTTATTCCTAATGCATAAATATGTCTTCCAAAATCATGAAAATCACCATTATTTTGCACTGTTTCCAAATATTGTAAATAAAGCCCAACCTCTGACCTAAGTATCACAAGTAAATATTAATAGAATAATTAACTTAAGTTTTGTGCACAGAATGTTTTATTTTTTGGATCACGGGTGGATCATATCAGAAAGCAAGTTGAATGAATACAAACATTAAATATTTTCTATAAAAATCTAGAACAATGCACTTTCATTGAGCCCTTTCTTCATTTTCTTAGATACGTGGACTTTTGAGAGAGTGTTCTTTATATGACAACAGGAGGTCTCCTCTTAACCTTATTACTTGAATTCGGACATATTTTGACATTAATGAAGCTTGTTTAAACAATATGGGAAAAAAATCTGATGTACATGTTCATTGGATACAAAGCTCTTGCTTGTTTTTCCATATATAAATTTCTTTTACAATTTCCTTTACAGTCCTTAGAAGCTCAGAAGCTAGAGTTTGTAGCAAAGGAAAAACAAAAAATGCAGGAGGCCTTGTTAAAATCCCAGAAAGAAGAGGAGGAGAAAGCAAAAGCTGCTCAGGCCAAACTCAGGAGGTCAATGGAGGTCACCAAAGAGAACCGAGAACAGCAAATACAGAGTCTGCAGGAGAAACTACGCGAACATGTAAGTAGCTGACTGAGAAAAGTAACATTGTCTGTTTGATTTAATTCTACCATTTTTGTTCATTTTGATTTGTGGTAAAATAATAAGAATATAAAGTGTTGTCCATTTGGTGTGATTGTGGTAGAAATGTAGTGGTACCATTGTATTGAGTTTATGTTCACACACCCAGTTAAGACTTGATATAATGATTATGAAAGACTTGATGAAGTAAAATCAATGTGATAGACACTACAGGTGTTTTGAAATGCTCCTCACTCCCAAATCTCTATCTCCTCAGCTGGCCAAAGTAAATGAAGTATGTAGAAATAGTGAGACTGAGAGCAAAGAACTAGAAGATAAACTCGCTCAAAAGTACGAGGCTTATGAAGAAAACCGCAAAAACCAGCTTCAGTCTATTGTCAAGCGCCTACAGGACCATGTAAGACATTTAAGGAAAATTTGTTTCCATTATATTTTCACTAACACTAAAGTGCTTAATCACACATCTTTACTCCTTTTACTGATAACAAATGACTTGGTGCAGAATTATTCTTGAGAAGGTAGAAAAAGTCTTTAACAGTATTGAATGATTTCATTGTATTCCCTAGGCAAAACATATTGAGGAAGTATGCAAGACTAGTGAGAATATGAGCAAGACCTCTGAGGAGAAAATTATCCAGAAATTGGAGAATGCCCTCAAGAACCGTGAAGAGCATTTTAAAGCACTGCAAGAAAGACTTAAAGATCATGTAAGGCTTAAAAACTAGTCTGAAATGAGTTTGTCATTTTTTCTTTACACTTTCTTTTTTCTTGATTTACATATACACATTCACATGTAGTACAAGGAAATTATTCAAATTAATAGTGTTTTTCCAAGTTGACTTATAAAAGACCATTAATGTGCCATTTATAAGTGCATGCATGCATGTATTCAATTGTGAAATATTTGATAATATAATTGATAAACTCATCTATATTTTAGCAACTAGGTGACAAAATGTGTAAAATAATTTTTTAAAGAATTATTTGGGAAAATATTTCTAAAGCAAATATACTCAGAAGTCAGGTCTAATGCTTTACTGTTCGAAATTTTAGTTAAGAAAATACTGATCATTTTGTCCTCTTTTAGGAGCGTAAAATTGAGGAGGTGAGAAAGAACAAGATGACCATGTCTGCCTGCTCTATGGAAGGAAGTGTGACCTGCTAGATCCACAATACACTCCAATCCAGCACCAGCTTTTCTGCCTAACCGACATCATTTACAAAATCACAAAGAAAACACAGATAGCTGTTAGAAAGAAAGACATTTCTTAATTCTAAATATTTTTGTTTCATTATCTGGTTAATGAATTCATTCGAAGGCACAGGTGTGAGTGCTCCGAAAAAATAGTAGTGCTAAGTATTTAAGAAAAGTTGCTTTGTTCCATGTTTTTGAAAACAAGTTTGGTGTTGCAGTTATCAGTCTTAACATTGAAAATTAATAATTTTAATACCAGGATTGTGGATTCATATGGACAGCTCTGCAATATGTATTGTAGAATTTGTTCCTCTTCCGCTTTCGCAAAATTGTTCCCGACTTTGAGCAGTTCAGTATGCACATGTCATGGTCATTGAGAAAACATTGCACCTTAAATTCTACCACTTAAACATATGCAGCAGCAATATGAATGAAAGTGAAATGTTTAAAGAATAGAGTGATCTATCAACCAATATTCTATGTAGTGATGTAATACATTTTTGTCCATAATTTAAGTGTCTTTGTCAAATTCAATTGGTACTGTTTTGCACTGTTAAAAATTTTTATGCTTGAAATAATTTTTACTAATTTAGATATATATATGATATATATATATATATATATATATATATATATATATATATATATGATATATATATATTCATGGCAATCATCAACTTAATAGCTTCCTAGTTTGTTTATGAAGGTGTGTTTAGCAAGTTTTCTAAATATGTAGATCTAAGTTATGCTTTTCAGAATGATGAATTTGTGTTTTTGAAGGTGTGTGTAAAATTCAAAAGAATGCTTCAAATCTTGTGCAGGTGTAAAGACATAGCTACCTTTGCATTGAAAATACACTACCAGTACAGTGAAAGTACACTGTGCACCTTGTAGCTAAGGAGGAATATAACTGTCTTTGAACTAATATAGAAATTAAAAGGTTATACCTTGTTCATATGGAGATTAGTTAGATTTAGTCGCTGTACCAATATATGTGTAATTGCGATCTCATTTTGAACACTGTGGAATTTAGTTTTAGCTTTTGTAATGTGGCTTGTATTAAATCAATAAAGCCTGAATGTACAGTTTTTTGAGGTCTTTCTGTTTCTTTTTTTTATCATTATTCAGAGACCAGAAGAGCTTATGCGATAGTTTTGCGTCCGGCGTCCGTCCGTCTGTCACACCTGGTCCGTCTGTCTGTAAACAATTTTCCAAAATGCTACTCCTCCTACAGTTTTGGTTTGATTTCATTATAACTTGGCACACAAGAAGACTACACTAAGATACATAATTCTGTGTATCGGTTTTTTATTTCGATGAACGGTGTTGCCGTGGTTACTAAAAATAGAAATTTCTGTGAAATTGTTTCAAAATGCTACTCCTCCTACAGTTTTGGTCTGATTTCAGTATTACTTGGCAAACAAGTAGAATACACTAAGATACATAATTCTGTGTATCGGTTTTTGATTTTGATGAAAGGTGTTGCCGTGGTTACTAAAAATAGAAATTTCTGTGAAATTCTTTCAAAATGCTACTCCTCCTACAGTTTTGGTTTGATTTCATTATAACTTGGCACACAAGTAGAATACACTAAGATACATAATTCTATTTATTGGTTTTTGATTTCGATGAACGATGTTGCCGTGGTTACTAAAAATTATTGTAAAATTGTTTAAAACGCTACTTTTACAGTTTTGGTCTGATTTCAGTATAACTTGGCAAACAAGTAGACTACACTAAGATACATAATTCTGTGTATCGGTTTTTGATTTTGATGAACGGTGTTGCCGTGGTTACTAAAAATAGAAATTTCTGTGAAATTGTTTCAAAATGCTACTCCTCCTACAGTTTTGGTTTGATTTCATTATAACTTGGCACACAAGTAGACTTCACTAAGATACATAAATCTGTGTATCGGTTTTTGATTTCGATGAACGGTGTTGCCTTGGTTACTAAAAATAGAAATTTCTGTGAAATTCTTTCAAAACGCTACTCCTCCTACAGTTTTGGTCTGATTTCAGTATAACTTGACACACAAGTAGACTGCACTAAGATACATAATTCTGTATATCGGTTTTTGATTTTGATGAACGGTGTTGCCTTGGTTACTAAAAATAGAAATTTCTGTGAAATTGTTTCAAAATGCTACTCCTCCTACAGTTTTGGTTTGATTTCATTATAACTTGGCACACAAGTAGACTACACTAAGATACATAATTCTGTATATCGGTTTTTGATTTCGATGAGCGGTGTTGCCGTGGTTACTAAAAATAGAAATTTCTGTGAAATTGTTTCAAAATGCTACTCCTCCTACAGTTTTGGTCTGATTTCAGTATTACTTGGCAAACAAGTAGAATACACTAAGATACATAATTCTGTGTATCGGTTTTTGATTTTGATGAACGGTGTTGCCGTGGTTACTAAAAATAGAAATTTCTGTGAAATTGTTTCAAAATGCTACTCCTCCTACAGTTTTGGTCTGATTTCAGTATAACTTGGCACACAAGTAGACTACACTAAGAACATAAAGAGACTTTATCAACAATCATTATTCTATTTTTTTTAGTTTCAAATCCCAGCTGCTTAAGTACTTTTCTCTTACTTTGCTATAAGTTCAAACCAGTAGAGCTTCAGTCTCGACAGAGACTTCTGGTTTATCATTATAATGAGATGGGGGGAAAGTTGCTCTGCTAGACACCTGAACCCAAGTTGTGAAAATTTCAACCAAATTAGAATGGATGTTTCTTGGAATGAACTCTACCAGACTTACTTTGGATGCTGGGTCTGATTTTCATTTTCAAGATCAGAGTCCAGCAGCCAGGGTAATGTTATTGGAGTATAGCTGTAAAGTTATATAGCATGTTATGATGAAATTTTAATGTGAAAACCCTACCTGTTCTTTTTTTTTTTCAAAGTTTATGGCCAATTTAAAGTAATGTTTAAAGTTTTGAAAAGTAAGTCAGACGTCAAGGTTACAGTCACTAGGTCAAAAATCATAGTGTATTTAGAAAGGTTTTGTCACAGGTAGTATTAATTAAGAAATAAACAACGTTATTCAGTGAACATGGCGTTATGAATAGCAAGTTGTCATATTCCATGATGCGCGCTAGCGCATCTTGGAAAATATGCCAGCAGAGCTATTGCTATTCATAATGCCATGTTCACTGAATAATCGTTGTCTATTACTTATATTTGCATTCTTTGATTTTTTTTTTCAAGAATATCAGAGGAAATCCTGATTTACATGAGGACGTAGCTTCTTGTCTTCAGTAAAGAAAAACATACGGCTTTAAAATCACTAAACCTGATTAATGCTCCTTTTCTCTAATAAATCACAAACAATTTATAAAGTATTTCCCTCTCAAACACAGTTATTTGGATACAAGCAGCGCCGTCATCACATTTTTGTTTTGATGCAGTTATGACGTCATCGATCAACGTTATTAAAAGCCTCTGACAAAAATCAATAATTTAACACTATGATGAAAAATGAGAATTTTTTTTATAATGATTATTACTTCAGAATGCTTTTTTATAAATTTTTTTAGTTTTTCTATTTATTTTTAATAGTGAAATCATTCTTGAAATAGAAATTTTCTCTTTCTGAATGTTCATACCCAAGTATGAAGAGTTATCGTTCTTTGTACAAATATGTATGATGCGAAAAAATAAAAATGTGGCAGTTCTCTATGATTTTAAAATATTTTATTACACAATTAAATACATTGACCAAAACTGAATTTTTTAAGATATAAATCAGCAATTTTAAATATTCTTAATTTCCTTTTTTTTCAAAGAATATTATTAAAAACTTATTTTTATTCCTCTTAGGAAACATATCATATATATAATTCTCAACACGTGACTCAAGTGTAGTAGAGATTGTTCTACACGAGTGTGCACTCATAGTAGTAGCAGTTGCGTCTATAGGCCTATGAACGCAGTTGAAGACAACACGGTCATAATGGGAGAGAGCAGTGGATATGCAAATATATACACTTATAATATGAAAACCTTATCTAAAAGTTATGACCAAGGCCAAAGTTTTTGAAAACGGGGTCAAACACCATAGTGTATTTACAGGTAATACACATGTGTAACATGAAAGTCATATCTTTTCTCATTCATAAGTTACGACAAAGGTTAATTTTTTAAGTTCGTCAAACTTGAAGGTCATGGGGTTAAAAAATAACTGTTTAGAAAGGCTTTGTTACAGGTAATACACATGTTTAATATGATAGCCCTACCTTTTCTCTTCCAAAAGTTATGGCGAATTTGAAGTAATGTTAATTTTTTTGAAAAGTAAGTCAAACGTCAAGGTCACCGGGTCATAGAGTATTTGAAAAGTTATGGTCACAGGCAATGCACATAATTATGAAAGTCCTATCCTCATTCAAAAGTTATGACCAAAGTTAGTCTTTTGAGACGGACGGACAGACGAATGGAATTTAATGTCCGCCGCTTTCACCAAACCAAAACATAATGTGAGATCACTAATACGAATAACATTCGTTGATATGAGCTTCGTAATTTTTGATTAACTATGTTTGTACAGTAATTAGGGAGGGGTGCCAAAAAAAAACAATATAAATAATTCAGATCTAATATTTGGCCTTTATATGCTGAAACCAGAATTTAATAGGGATGTCTCTAGATCAATAAAATGAAAAAAAACCTTAACAGCATAGACATGGAATCAGGTACTATGGAAGACAAAGCATTCTCTGTAGATCGATCACACCTGTCATGTTCATTTTGTCATAATCGGATAAAAGGAAAATCCATAGACAATGTGTATGGCACGCCAAATTCACAAAAATGAGCAAAACATAGTTTCACAGTCGATAAACTAGGTTAATCGGTTGTAAACTATAGTTTACGCACTGTAAACTATAGTTAACAACGTTAATCTATATTTTACATCTGTAAACCATAGTTAACGCGATAATCTATGTTTCACAACCGTAAACTATAATTAACACCGAAAACAATCATTTGCGATTGCAAAACATAGATTATCTGATAAATACAGTTTCACGATTTGTAAACTATGGTTTACAACTCTTAACTATAGTTAGCGATCGTAAATTATAGTTTACAGACGTGAATCTATGTTTATCAACAAAATCTATTGTTAATGTTTTATATAGTTTTACAATCGTTAACGGTTTGTAAACTATAGTTTACAGTCGATAAACCTAGTTTATCAATTGTGAAACTAGGTTTAGTTTTTTAGCTCACCTCAAATGATTGTTTTCAGCTTATGTTAACCCTTATAGTTTAAGGTTAAGTTTTGAAACAGTTTTCTTTTTGTACTTCTATGTCCTATATTGATTAGACATGCATGGAATATGCTTCTAATGTGTTTCATTGTACCAGTCAAAGTTTCAGATGCTGCAATTTCAGCAAAGGATTGACCAGGTTAATGTTTTTGGAGCAGGTTCACATTTTTGATGCAATTTTTGCAGTAGGTTTCATTTCCAAGGAACTATAAGCTATATGTTGACAAACTTGTAAACTATAGATACATCTAAGGATGTACACTACCAGACTTGCTTCAGATGCTGGATCTGACCTTCATTTTCAGGATGAGTGACAAGGTTAAAGTTTTTGGAGCA